CCGCATCGACGACCAGGAGGACGACGAGGAGGCGGGCCGACGTCGAGGGAGGTGGCCGCGTCGGCTCGAGCGGCGGCGTGCTCATGGCTCGCCGACTCGACTGCTGGACCCAGGCGAGAGCAAGCCGGGGTGAAGCGGTCGAGGGAGCGAGGAGCGCGAGCGAGGGCGCGAGGAGGTGCGAGGAGGAGGGCGCCGGCCCGGGTGGCGGTCGCGCGCAGGAACGAGGACGAGGGGTCACCCGTGTGGGCGCTCATGGCTGCCACTCGCCCCTGGCTGTGGTGCGGCGAGAGCTGGGCGAGGTGACCGAGACGAGGGCGAGGCGGTGGGGGGCGACGACGACGGGGACGAGGTCGGGTAGAATCGCGCTAGTCTCGGTGCGACGGGTCGAGTCTGGTGAGGGTGTACGCTGGGTCGCACACTGCGCTCGCGGTCGAGCGAGAAGGTGGGAGCGACACCAACCCGACTCGAGCCAACCTCCGCATCGTTGACCCCCTCCGCCGTCTTCCCTCGCCCCGTGCGCCGCCAGTGACTGTCCAGACTCGACAGGCAGTAGCCTTGTACCAGCTTCCAACTCGAACCAGCACTGCCCGACGAGCTCCTGTCGACCCGGGTCCCGCCCTCGCCGTCCTCATCACCTCGACGCTCCTCCAGCGTCGCACACTCGCACAACTGCCAGACAGGCACGCCCAGCCCAGTCACGACCTCGCCACCATGTCGTACCCGGCCACCGCCCAACAACAGCAGGCCCTGTTCGCCCACATGAACCCGCTCGCCCACCAACAACAACAAGCGCACGCTCAAGCTCAGTACGCCCAGCTGCAAGCTCAGGCCAGGGGCAACCCGCAGCTACAGCAGCAGCTTCACGCACAGTGCGTCCCCCTCAAGCCTCCCCTCGCCCCTCGTCCCGTCCTCGACCTCGCCCTGACTTGGTCCCTCTCGCCGCTCGCAGACAGCTTCGCGCCATGCAGCAGCAGCAGGGCGCACCGGCCCCTGCACCTGTCGTACCTGCCTCACAGCCCGCCGGCATCTCGTCCCGCGAGCGCGACGTCGGCGACGGCGACGACCACTACCGCAACGCCAAGTGCGCCTTCTTCCACTTCCCTCGCCCGCGCCCTCGGCCGTCCATACTTACCGCTCTCCTTTCCTCGAAACAGACGCCGCAAGCCCACCGACCGCTCGCTCCCGTCATCCTTCAAGCCCTCGCTCCCGTCCTCGGTCCCGCCCGGCCCGTCCGATCTCGCCCTCGCGCCCTCGCTCGACGCCCTCGACCGCCTCGGCGACGCCTACAAGCGCCTCCAGGACATCGAGCGCAAAGTCGACTGGACCGTCGCTCGCAAAGCCGTCGAGGTTCAGGAAAAGGCGACCGGCACCGTCGGCCGCGGCGAGCCTGTGCGTCTCCCTTTTCTCTGGCTCTCGGCCGCCCTCATCCCGCCCGCCCGTCCTGACCCTCGTCTTCCCCCTCCAGTTCCGCCGCACGTTGCGCATCCACGTCACGGCGACTGCGCGCGACCAACCTTGGCAGCTCTCGACCGACGACCTGGCCAAGGAGGGCGACAAGGAGGCCGTCCCCGACCCGGCCACCGAGGCCGAGAACAAGCCCGACACGGCCAGTGACGACACCAAGGTCAAGGTCCCGCGCGTCGAGGTGCGCGTGACCGGCGAGATCCTCGAGGTGCGTCGCCTCGTGTCCCTCTTTCCTCCGGCCCGACGTCCTGACCAATCTCGTTCCTGCGCGCAGGACGACCGCTACCCGTCAAGCTCGACCCCGTTCACGACCTTCCTCCACCGCCTCGTTGTCGAGACGCCTTCGCGCGACCCGGCCGTCCAGCCCGTCGGCGCTCAGCCCCTGTCGTGGACCCGCCCCTCGCCGCACGCTCAGCAGCCGTCGTCGCCGCCCAAGCTCCCCGCCGCGCTCGAGTCGTCGCACCCACTGTCGGGCGGGCCCGACACCAAGCTCGACCTCAAGCTGTCGCTGTACGTCGCCCACCCGGCCGGCGACCGGTACGCGCTCCACCCCGAGCTCGCCAGCGTGCTCGACACGGCCGAGGCCGACCGCGTCGGCGTCCTCGAGGCCCTGTGGAGCTACGCCAAGAGCCGCGGCCTCGTCGAGGAAAACTCGGACGCGTCGGCCGCAGGCGCCGCGACGGCCCCGCAGCAGCAGCCGGGCGCCCAGGTCAAGAGCGGCATCAAACCCGACGACCGCCTGCGCAAGTTCTTTGGCAACGTCGGCCTCGTCCAGTTCCACCACCTGCCCGAGTACCTGAACCGGCTCCTCCTGCCGCCACCGCCGCGCCAGTTTGTCCTGTCGGTCCCCGTCTCGGCCGACGCCGCGGCCGCACAGCCGCAGCACTTTGCGTTCGACACGCCCATCTACGTCCCATCGCCGGTCCAGCCTGCCCTCGACAGCGCCTTGCGCGCCCTGTCGTCGCTCGTCAACCCGGCAGCGACGTCGCCGCCGACCGGCTCGACGACCTCGCCCGCCGCCGTCCTCGCGGCCGAGCTGTCGGCGCTCGACGACAAGCTCGCCCTCAACGCGCTCGCGACGCGCCAGCACGCGCAGCAGCTGCACGCCCTACAGGGCTTTGCGCGCGACCCGCGCGGGTTCCTCGAGCGGTGGGTCGACTCGCAGCGGGCGCGCTCGCCGACGTGCTCGCCGCGACGTCGACGGGCTCGGCGCGCTCGGCGGGCGCGCTCGCAGGCGGCAGCGACGGCGTGCTCGGCCCGAGGTGGCGCGACGAGATCCGCAAGGCCGACAGCTGGGACGCGCCGTGGGTCAAGGAGGCCGTCGAGGTGTGGGCCCTGAGGGACGTCGAGGGCAAGGCGCAGCGTGCGAGGCAGGCCCAGGTGCTCCAGCAGCAGCAGGCGTACGCGCAGCAGCAGCAGCAGGCGCAGTACCATGCGAACGCGGCGGTCGGGTACGGCAGGAGGTAGATACTCTCTCGTGTCGTGCAACGACAGGTTTCCTCTCTTTTCTCGAGCTCTCGAGTCTCTGCTGCACGAGATAGAGAAGACGGCTGCACTGCGAGAGCGAGATCTACAAGAGCGAAAAGAGAGCGTCTCATTGCAATCGCGCGAGCGCACGCTCCGTCATCGCGACGACCTGCGTACGGGCGAGAGGTTCAGTAAAGGCGAGAGGCGAGAGATCTATAGAGAACGAGGACGACGCACCTGCGAGATGTCGGGCCGGTCGTCCGGGTTGACCTTGATCATGGCCTTGACGAGCTCGCGGAAGCTCTCGCTGTACTGGCCGTCGTCGGGGAAGCTGAACCGGCCGCCCATGGCCGCCATGGCGATCGACCCGCCGTGCTCCGACTGCTGCGTCGTCTCGAATGGCGACGTACCGTACGCCATGGCGTACAACGTGCACCCGAGGGACCAGATGTCGACCGCCTCGGTCAAGGTCGTGCCCGTCTTGACCTGTGACAACGAGGCCAGGGTCAGTCCCCGACGCTTTTCGAAGAGAGGGCGTAGTCCACTAGGCGAGAGAGGAACGAGCCGACGCACGTCGAAGAGTTCCGGCGCCCGGAACGGCATCGAGCAGTGCTCGGCGGCGAGGTCCTGCTGCAGGAGCGCGACACGACGATCCGGGATCGGGATGCGCGCCGGGAGCGCGGAGCCAAAGTCCATCAGGACGGGCGTCTCGTTGTCGTCGGCGAGCATGACGTTGGCCTGCAGGCGTCGGGGACGAGAAGACGGTCAATCACGGGGTGCGAGAGCGCGAAATGGAGAAACCGACACGCACAGGCTTGATGTCGCGGTGCGCCCATGGCGTAAAGCTGCCCTTCTGGCCCTCGACCGGCTCACCCTTGTCCACCGTCCCTCCCGTCGCCCGTTGCCCGTCGCCGAGCCGCCCGAGAACGGTCGCGCCGTCCTCCTCGCCCATGCCCGGCACGTCGTCATCTTCTTCGAGCTGCTGCCGTGCGCTCTCGAGCCCGCCGATGAGCGCCTGGCCCTCGTTGGTCCCGCTGCGCAACCCGCCGCTCTCCTCGTCCTCGTCCTCCTCCTCGAACTCGTCCAGCTCCTCGCCCGTCGAGATCTCGGCGTCGGACCGCCCTTGCGGCGGATACGCCTGCGCGCCCATCTTTGGCCGCCGGGTGCTGGTGCGAGTCGACGACGAGGTGCCCCGGGCTGACGGGCCCGACTGGTGGAGGTGCATGGCGCGCACGGCGAGGCACGTGCCGTGGAAGATGGACAGCATCTGCTTCTCGGGGTAGCGATCGCCGTTGACGGCGTTGGCCGAGATGACGTTCTGCACGCTGCGCGCGGCGGCGAAACGAGGGTCAGATCAAGGGAGGAACCGTCGAGGCAGAAGAAAAGGTCGAGCGCACGTTCCATTCTTGTAGAAGGGCAGGAAGAGCTGCGCGCAGTCAGAGGTGTCAGATACGAGTACGTCACGGCGACAAAGAGGAGGATGAGGGACGCACGTAGATGACCTTGCCGTCGCCCTCGCGGTCCTGGACGACGCAGCTGTCGAGGCAGCGGATGATGTTGGGGTGGCGGAACCGCTTGTAGGCTGTGTCACGGGGTGGGTTCGAGGTCAGGCTTGCTCCGAGACCGCTCGAACTGGGCCAGGGACGCACCCTCGACCTCCTTGAGGGCAGCCTTGACAGAGTCGGACCCGAGCGGACAGCGGATCTTCTTGAGGGCGAAGAGGCGCTTTGATGCGTTGTCTTGAGCGAGGTAGACCTGGTGCGGCGGGCGAGATTGGTGTCAGCTTGCGCGGCAGGGCAGGACGAGAGGGAGGGGGAGAGACGGGAGGGTGGGGGAGGACGTACATAGCTGAACCCGCCCTCGCCAAGCAGACGGAGCACCTTGAAGCTGCGCCCGTTCAGCTTGAGGGTTGCATCTGCGGGCAGGAAGCAGTGTCAGCCCCGTCGAGCGGGTGCGGGCGCGCGAAGGCGGTGCACGGCGTGTTCGTCGACGACGACAACGACGAGGAGAGAGGGGAGCGCACCAGTCTTGCAACACGACCCGGCCAGGGCGTAGAAGGCGTCCTTGACACTCTCGAGCAGCGCAGCAGCGTTCATCTCGAGCTGATGGACGAGTGGGAGGGGACGGAGCGAGCGGAGCCAGGGCGGGACAGCGATGAAGAGGTGGCAGCTCGCACATCGCTAGGACGGCAGCGTGCCGGGTTCTCTGCGCTTCTGACGCTCTCGTAGACCGGGTCCAGAGTCGAGAGAAAAGGCGAGGGACGAGACGGCTTGTCGACCTCGTCCAGCTCTCGCAGTCAAGGAGGCTCTCCGTGCCGCGCACCGAGCCGCGAGCTCAACGGCGCTGCATTCTCAGCGCCTGCGCCATCTACAGCTTGGCCTGCAGCTGCTCCCGCCGCCGCTCGCCGCCCGTCGTCCTGCTCTTCCGGTTGTCCTCCTCGCGGGCCCACTCTGCGACGGCGTCGCACAGGCCGTCGACCTCGCGCACCGTGTTGCCCGCATGCAGGCACACTCGGACGCGCTCCTCGCCGTGCGGCACCGTCGGGTGCGTGATTGGGCGCGAGAGGAAGCCGCGAGTCCGGAGGAAGGCGGCGAGAGGGCGAGGGGACGAGGTGAGGAGCGGGATGATGGGCGACGTGGGCGGATGAGGTGTGACGCGAGTCAAAGGCGACGTGACGATGGCGACGAGGTGCGGCGGCAAGGAGACGGACGAGGTGCTGGGGAGGAGGCTCGAGAGCCGCGAGAAGAGGCGGAGCGCGAGCGTGTGGACGTGCGCGGCGGGCTGTGGCGAGGACGGGCAACTCGGTCAGTCTCGTCGTTAGGACAGACTATTGAGAGGGGAGGAGAGGAGAAGGCCGGGACGCACCGCCTCGCTGTGACCTTGCTCGAGCATCTCGAGCGACTTGACGACGGCGAGCGCGCTCAGGTGCGTCATGACGGTCGAGTAGATGAGCGGGCGTGCGTAGTTGATCAGGTAGTCGCGGATCAAGGGCGAGGCGAGGACGACAGCTGCGAGGCGACACACGAGAAGGAGGGTCAGCAAGTCGAAGGGGCGAGAGGGAGAGAAAAGGGCGGGACGGACCGCCGCTGCAGGCCATCGCCTTGCCGAACGTGTGGACCCGCACTGTCACTCGATGCTCGAGACCGAGCGCCGCGACGAGCCCTCGCCCTCGCACGCCGTACAGCCCGGACGAGTGCGCCTGCGAGAAATGGAGAGAGTCAGGCACCACGCTCGAGCGAGGGGAGAGAAGAGGGCGGGAGCTAGACGCACCTCGTCGACCACCAGGTGCACGTTCCCTCGAGGAAGTACTCGGTCGATCGCGTCGACCATCTCGCGCAGCGGGGCCAGGTCGCCGTCCATCGAGTACAGCGACTCGACGCCGACCCACACGCTCCTCTCGCCTGCCCGCACGCCCTCGTCCCGCGCAGCGATGCCCTCGAGGACCCGCTCGAGTGACTCGACGCGGTTGTGCCGGAACGCGCGCCGGCGCTCGCTCGGGACGCGGCTCGCGCGCATGCCATCGTGCATGCTCGCGTGCACGAGCTCGTCGTAGACGATCCAGTCGTCCGGGGCCGGCAGGCACGTCCACAGGCCGACGTTGGCGTCGAAGCCTGAGTTGAACACGAGCGCGGCCGGCGCGTCGAAGAAGGCGGCGAGGCGTCGCTCGAGCGAAGCGTGGAGGGGCGTATTGCCGTCGAGGAGGCGCGAAGACGGCGGGCCGTACAGCGGCGTTGCAGTACCATCGTCGACGGTCGCGAGAGCGTCGACGAGCTTGCGTCGGAGGACGGGCGACCGAGCGAACGACAGGTAGTCGTTCGACGAGAAGTCGACGAGGTTGGAGCTGGCGGGCGGTGCAGGGTCGAGCTGGCGCAGCATCTGCCTCGACTTGCGCGAGTCGAGGGTCGCCTTGAGTCGATCGTCGAGCGCGGACGGCATCTGCGCGAGAGGGAACCGAGGTCAGCTCGTCGCAGTGTCGAGAGGATTGCCCGTCGCCGAGGGACAAACGCCGACGGCTGCCGCGCCTCCAGCGGGTCGTCCATCGAGCGCTCGAGGCTTTGGACGCAGCGGCTGGGCGACCTGGGGCTGTGTCGCGCCGTTCCGCGAGTCGACCGTCGCCCGGCGGTGTGCCGTCCCTCCTCGATGTCCCGCCCTCGAGGCTGGCCGTGAGAGCGCGCAGTCTCTCTCAGAGCTCTGCACCGACAGTTCTGACCACCGCTGTGCGAGCCCTAGCGCGCGCGTCCTCCTCGTCGGCGTGCACCGCCTCGCTCGCCCTCATCGCGCCTCTGAGCTGCCCCCAACCTGGCGACCGCGAGCCTCGTGGACTCAAGTCGGTGTGGACCACCGTCTCGACAGAGAGAGAGAGAGACAGGGGACGCACGATCGCAGCTTGCGCCGGCGGGGAGAGCTTGCGGGTGTTACGAGGCTCTGCTCTCTACCGGCGCCCGTCAGATTACTAGCGAGCGCTTGACTCTGCATTGTAATCGTGCTGTCGAGGGGAGGGTCCAGAACTGGAGTCGAGTGGGGCCGAAGCTTCCCCGCCTTTCCTTTCCCTCCTCCTCCCCTCTCTCTCTCTCCCTCTCCCCTCTCACCGACACTCGCACCACCTCTCAGCACTCGCCTCGCACACACTCAAACTCTCCCCACAACTTCTACTACCTACCGTGCGTCCCACACTCTCCTCGTTCAGATTGAGGCCGGCCACGTCGCGTGACTCGCCCCCCGGTCCCTCCTCACTCGCACCTCGCATGGGCGTGGGCGAGTCTCAGCGTGGAGACCGAGGACTATCGCAGCAGGTCGAGCAGGATCTGGCCCGGTCTCGAGCGAGGAGCAGGCGAGGGGGAGGCTAGCCTCTGGGCGACGGGTGGGGGGAGCGGGACCACGACGAGGGCAGAAGCGCACGGGCGGGACAGACGAGGGCAGAGGTGGCGAGCACGAGGGCGGGACACGGGCAGGTCGACAGGCGCTTACCGTGGTTGCTCGCCGTCGCAGACCTCGAAACGCCCAAGATGCCTATCACCGTCATCAAGTCCGAGGACGAGTACCTGCGCGCTGTGCGTCCCCCGCCCTCTCTGTATCTACAACACGAGCCCGGCTAACAAGCCCCGCCGTCGCCCGCAGATCAAGGAGTCGGGCATCACGGCCGTCGAGTTTGTCGCGCCGTGGGACGAGTCGTGGTCCGTCCCTCGCTCCACTCTCTCCTGTCTCGACGGAATCGACTCTGACGAGAGCCGCATGGACCTGAAACAGCAAGGCCATCTCGCCCAAGTTCCAGGAGTACTCGGACAACCCGCGCTGGAAGGACATCCACTTCTACAAGCTCGACATCTGCGACCAGCAGGTCCGTCCTCCTCTTCCTCCTCCCGTGTGCCCCCTTCTCAAATCCCTCAGTCGACTGACACTCTTGAGGATCGCCCGCAGGACGCCGCCATGACGGCGCACGTCGACATGGCCCCGACCTTCCACTTTTACCGCGACGGCGCCAAGATCAAGGAGTACGTCGGCTCGTCGTACCCGGCCCTCGAGGTGCGCTTCCGCTCTCTCTCTCGTGCTCGCGCGCCGTGCTTGCGCGGCCGACCTGACCGTCGAGCCTCTCCCTCCCCGCACAGCGCACCATGGGCGCCCTCGTGAGCGGCCACTAGCGCGCCACGTCCCTCTCGCAAACTCGCACCCGCATCGCGCCTCTGTCTCTCTCTGCCTACCCGTCCAGCTGTACACCCTGTGCAGGCCACCTCGTCGTCGAGAGGCGGCTCAATGCGCGAGGGCAAAAACTCGAGGAGGAGGTCGTCGTCTTTTGTAGCTTTCTCGAGGGTGCATGTCTGCCCAAGTTTCCTCTCACATTTGCGCGGCTGCGAGCTCGAAAGTATGAAAGCGTCCGTCGTCGAGGCCAAGCTCGTCGAGACGAGACGAGACGAGACGAGTCGGTCGCGAGCCTCGTTCCCGACATGCAGCTCTCTCTACTCTCAGCGGCGGCTCGGGTTCGATCTTCTGATAAGCTGCGTGTGGACCATCAACGGTGTCGAGAGCGAGAGAGCGCGACGCGTCTCGCCACCGCCCACCACCTCAGCACCCGCGAATCTCTCGCAGCTCGCAGCGGCTTGTTCTAGCGACGTATCGCTGCTCGAAGGCGAGTAGGCTTCGCGCATGACAGCGTCAAGCGGGTCGCTCGTGTCTTTGGCAGCGCGAGAGATCTGCTCAGCGGCAAGAGAGCCCGCAAAGTCGAGTTTGAGAAGGTCGAGCGCCAACTACGTCGACGCGGTCCGTGCGTCGGCTCCCTCGGTGCTCTCCCGCCTTCCTTGCTGGACGGAGCGATCTTACCTCTCGAGAAACGTCTGTTGCGCTCGAGATCTAGAGGTGCCTCAAAACAGAGCGCGTCGGGCGCGAGAGGGTCAGTCGAGTAGTGCGTCGCGAACCTGCGAGTCGACCTCGTGCTGGGTCTGCTCGTCAAAGCGGCGTACTCTCGCGCTGTTGCTCTCGAGAAGGCTCGGCTCGTCGGAGCTTGGCACCCACAGACGGGAGCCGGTCCCCTCACAAAGCTGCGTCGGCGGAGGAAGAGGGCAAAGCCGGCAAACGAGCACGAGTTGCACGAAATCTATGCGAGCTGCGACCTCCTCCTGCGACGAGAGGCGCGCTCGAACCTTTTCAGAACGAAGGAGAGCAGAGAATGGGATCTAGTCGGAGGCCGGGAAGAGAGAAAAGACGAAGAGGGAGGGAAACTCAAGCCGACGAGGGCATCTTGGCGACGATGGACGAGCGGCGCGAGCGCATGCGCGCCTGCGCCTCGCCCTTGCGGATAGTCGCAAAGACGTCGCCGTAGAATCTGCGCCGAGAAAGAGCTCGTGAGTCGACGCTCGGGCGAGAGGGAAACGTGGCTCGAGGAGGAGAGAGGTGGACGCACGAGCCGTTCAGGCCCGCCTGAGGCGCAATGCCCGACTCGTAGGTCGAGTCCCACTTGGCGACGATGTCGTCGACGACGGGCCTGCCGGCGATCACGAGGTTCTGGATGGCCGGCTCGAAGCCACCTTGCTCGGCCTCGAACGCCGTGTAGGCGTCGTCGGACTGCTTAGGCGCCCGGTCAAAGTCCGACGCAGTGCGAAGGAGGACGATGCGCGAGTAGTCGACGAGGCCGGCCTTGTGCGCGCGGACCATGGCCTCGAGCGTCGCGTTGTCCTCCTGGGCGGTCGTGCAGTAGCGGCCCTTGCCGGCGGTCATGAGCTCGGTGTAGTTGCCCCACGTCTCGGCGAGGAGCGTGCCGGCAAAGTAGGCGTCCGAGCAGAGGCTGCGGACGAGGACAAGGACGAGAAGTCAGGGTCGAGAAGGCGAAAGGCGGAAAGGAGTAACGAGCGGACGCACGTGTCGCACGAGGTGACGACCGGGCCCTCGTTGGCGGGCGCAAAGTCGAACTTCTTGCGGTACTGCTGAGCGACGCTCGAGTCGTTGAGCTTGACGCCCTGGGTGAGGTTCATGACGCGGTCGAGAAGGTTGGTGTTGAGCTCGAACACCTCGGTGCCGTACAGGCTCGAGACCTGTCGTCGCAGAGTGTGTCAGAGCGCGCGTCTTTCGAAGGTAGGCGAGAGGATGGACGCACGTCCGGGAGCTGGCCAGGAGCCTTGGTGCCGAGAGCCCACTGCGGAAGGGGTGCGAGCGGCGAGTTAGCGCCGCTCGATAGAGCGCCTCTGCGACAAACGACGACGAGTGAGAGAGAGAGAGTTGCACGCACGTAGCCAGTAGTCCAGTTCGAGGGCATCTGGCGAGCGTCGAGCTCGTACGCGAGGCCGCTCTGGACGGAGAAGCGGGCGAACGCGGCGGTGCCGAGGGTTCCGAGGTGAGGGTTGACGCCGCCGATACCGGCAATGAGGAAGTAGGTGCTCGTGAGGTCGAACTGGGTGTTGAGCGTCATGGCCATGACTGCGAGCCGTAGAGGGTGAGCTGACTTTCCGACGGCGAGGAGGAGGAGGGGGAGAGGACGACTGGGACGCACTCGTCGTCGCGGCGTTGATCTCGGCTTCGCCCGTCGTAATGATGCACACGTCGCGGTTGCGGTCGCAGTTGATGGTCGGGAACAGCGGCGACGCGCCGTTGAACGGGTACTCGACCTCGAGCGGCTGGTCGAGCGCGCCGTCCTGCAGCCACACCTCGCGCTCAGGCGTGAACATCGAGATGATCATGACCTTTGGCTTGATCGTGACCTCCTTCTTGGCGAGCTCGTGGGTGGGAGCGACGGCGACGGGCGCGGGTGCGGCCAGCGCAGAGCCGGCGAGGGCGAGGGAAGCGAGCGACTTGAGCGTGCGGAGCATGGCGACAGGCGGGTCCTCGTCGGTCGCACGGTGCGGGTAGAGAGCAAGAGAGGACGAGAGCGACGAGAGAGGACGCGAGAGCGAGCTGCGCGGGTTCCCCGATGCGGCCGTCGGCCGAAGAAAACTGATGAGGGGGGAGCGACAGCGCTATCTCGACCTGCCAGGGGGGAAAGTCCGACGGGCGCCGACGCGCTAGACTCCGCGAGGGACGCAGCGCGAGGCGACGAGCCCAAAAATGGGCGAGAGCGGCGCAGGAGAAGCAGCGGAAGGAGGGGTTCGTCGGGTCGATCGCTCTCGGGCTCGGACGCCGCTCGCTATCTTTGCCGCTCGGACCCACCGCGAGGTCGACTGCGCGACTTTGGCTCGACTGCACCGCTCGCACGCTTTCCAGAGTCGAGCAGCGTCGAGTAAGTTAGAGCGGCTCGCGTTTGTGCGGGATCGAGCACACGGAGAGCGGAGGCGGGGCGTGGAGAAGCTGCCCAAGGGCGAGTCGACGCTCGCCGACGCTCGACGCGCTTGTATGCAGCAAAGGGGTGTATTGCAGGGTGGCACAAGCGACAGGGACGGCATAGACGGAACGACACGATACGGCGAGAGAGAAGGAAAGAAAGCCGCCTCCACCCCGCTCACTCGACGACGTCGACCTCCTCCTCCTTGACCGGCGCCGCCGTTCTCTTGCCGAAGACGAAGCCGACCTGGCCACCGCGCACGCACAGCGTGCCGTTGCCCTCGTGCGGGATCGGGTCCTCGCCCTGGTCGGCCTTGACCATGCGCTCGTAGATGACGGTCTGCAGGAGGCCGTCCTCGAGCTTGTCGAGCGCCGCCTCGTCGGCGCAGTCGTAATGCGTCCAGGTCTTGAGGATCGACAGGTTGCGGCGCTGCTTCGACATCTGCGAGGAACAGAGAGTGGGTCAGGGCTGCGGCGGCGAGAGGGAAAGGGACGCGAAAAATGGAAAGAGAGGGTTCGAGCGCACCTTGCGAACGGCATCTTCATCCTGAAACTGCGACGCCTGGACAAAGCCGTCCATCTCGTCGTCGCTGTCCGACAGGTCCTCGTCCTCGAGGCCGTCCTCGTCGGCGCCGGGCGCCTCGCCAAAGTGGCAGCGGCAGCCCGTGAGCTCGTGCGTCTGGCACGCGACGCCCTCGTGCAGCGAAAAGAGGTTGCGGAGCTGTGGGCGCGAGCCGAGAAGGATTCAGTAAAGGAATCGGGCCGTAGAAGGGAGAGAGGGGCAGACGCACCTCGTCGAGCGTGAACGCGTCCTTGGCCTTGGCGGCTCCCTTCCCGTCCTGGTCCTGTAGGAGGATCGCGAGTCAGTCCACGGCTCGATGACGCATCGTCTCGGCGAGAGGAGAGAAGCGGACGCACCATGACCGAGCCGCTGAGGGCGAGCTTGATGATCTGGCGCTGGAAGACGACCTCGTCGATCGTGCCGGCCGTGAGGAAGCGGTAGATGAAGCAGTCGCGCTTCTGGCCCTCGCGGTGGATGCTGTCGGCACAGTTTGACGGGTCAGTGACGGCAGGACGAGAGCTCGACGTGGGAGAGAGAGAGAGGGGGCGCACCGAGCCATGGCCTGCAGGTCGTTCGACGGGTTCCAGTCGCTGTCGACCTGGACGAGCCTTGAGGCGCCGATGACTAGAGGATAAGAGAGTGTCAGTACAGGGAGCCAAGGGCATCTGAGGGGGCGAGAGAGGGGGACGCACTGTTGAGGCCCGTGCCACCGCCTTTACTCGAGAGGAGGAAGACGACTGTGGGAGGACGGCGTCGGTAAACGGCGTAAGGCGAGCGTTCCTGCACTCGAGAGAAAGGTGGGACGCACACTGGTTCTTCTGCGTGCCTCGGTTGAACGACTCGACCATCGGGATGCGGTCCATCTGCGGCGTCTTGCTGCTCAGGGGGTCGGCGAGGACGAGTCAGAGCCCGGCTTGCACCAGAGACAGAGACAGGAAGGAAAGGGGCTCGTGGCGCACCCGTCGAGCCGGCAGTAAGGGTACTTCTTGCGCTTGCAGTGCGTCTCGATGAGGTCGAGCGTGGTCGTGTAGTTCGAGACGATGACGATCTTCTCCTCCGACCGGTTGCGCAGCTCGGCGAGCATGGTGCCGAGAACCGAGAGCTTGCCTGTCGACGGGGCGAGAGAGAGTGAGCGGTGCGCGAGGGGAGAGAGAGCGCTCGAGGACGCACCCGAGAGGTGAAAGTCGGCCGGGTCGGCGTCCATGGGCAGGACGTTGAGCATCGACTCGTCGAGGTGGCCAAGACCCTTTTCCTGCAGGCGCACGGGAGCGAATGTGAGCTCGAGTGACGGGAAGAGAAGAGGCGAGACATGAGGCGCACCTTGATGTGCTTCATGAGGAGGCCCGGCGAGGTGCTGAGCTTGAGGATCGACTGGAGGAGGGCGAGACCTTGTTGGCCGTTCTCGCCCTTGAGCAACGACTTGATGCGCGACGACGACAAGACCTCGCGGTACAGGCGGAGCTGGATCTCGGTCGGGCGGATGAACACGGTGAACTCGACTGCGCACGACGACGAGCAGGGTCAGTGGCGGCGTGACGACGGCGTACGAGCGAGAGTCGGGCGCACACTTGGGCGGAAGGTGCTTGAGGATGACGTCGTTGGTGCGGCGCAGGACAAAGTGGCCCTGGGTCGCCATGAGCGACTCGCGAGCGTCCTTGCCCGCCTCCTTCTGCTTGGCCGTCGCGTTTGGCGCACGCGCTGCGACGATGGGCGTCTCGTAGTCTGCGGCGCTCAGAGAAGAGAGTCAGGATGACGCAGGAACGAGTGAGAGAACCGGGCGGACGCACTGCGCTTGAAGTAGCCGGCGTCGTTCAAGATGCCCGGGTTGACAAAGTCTGCGACGACGAGGGACACAGTCCGTCGGTGAACGCTCGACACAGAGTGGCAGAAAGAGAGACGCACCGAGCATCGCGAACAGCTCGCCGAGGTTGTTCTGGATGGGCGTGCCCGAGAGAATGATCCGGCGCATGCACGAGAGCGACTGCAGCGCGATCGTCGTCTTGGCGGCGGCCGACTTGAGGCGGTGACCTGCAGGGACGGCGTTTCGTGTGAGTCGAACGTGAGAGGGAGGGAGGGGAGAGAGGACTGGGCGCAAGGCGACGCACCCTCGTCGCAGATGATCAGGCCGATCGGCGGCTGGGCGTACTTGACGTCGTCGATGTAGGCGCGGACCTGCGACAGCTCGAACGTGAGGCAGTACTCGAGGGCGATGGGGAGGGGGCGAGGACGGACCTTGTCGTAGCCGACGATGAGGACGTCGTAGCTCTTGTTCCTCGCGAAGGTGCTGACCGGGTGGTCGGCGTCGGCGACGTAGACCCGCAGCTTGTCGCGCCCGAGCCACTTGCGGATCTCGGCGCTCCAGTTCTGCGTGGAAGAAGCGTTCGTGAGCCCGTCGTGGTGGACAAGGAGGAGAGAGAGCGGTCCGGCGCACCTTGATGAGCGTGACGGGGCAGACGATCATGACGCGCTCGACGACGCCGGCGGATCCGCCCTGGTACGGGTTCTGCTCTGCAGGTGCGCAAAGAGTGTCAGGGAATGTCGCCGTCAAGAGAGAGAGAGGGCAAGAGGCGCACTGAGGAGGGTCCACATGAGCGCGATCGACTGGATCGTCTTGCCGAGGCCCATGTCGTCGGCAAGCAGGCACCCTTGGCCCGTCGTCTTCATGCCCATGACGCACTGTTGAGAGGAGAGAGGGGCGGCGAGAGTCAATACTCGGCTCGTACCAGGGGCAGAGAGACAAAGATCAAGGGGCGGGGAAGAGCGAGCGCACCTCGTACATGAACGCGACTCCCCTGCGAGGTGGCGAGCATCGTCAGTTCATGCACGAGAAGGATTGAGGCGCGGGAAAGAGGAAAGGGGACGCACTCCCTTTGATGCTGACGCAGCTTGTCGCCGATGAGCGGGTCGACGACGACGTCGACGATGGGCAAGTTCCTGCGGCAGGAGAGGTCAGGACCGCCTGATCGTCGACTGCACTCGTTCACGTGATCAGGCGAGATGGGACGCACTTCTTGTTGTAGATGGCCTGGTGCTCCTCGTTCGGGCGGCGCATGACGAGCGCGCCCTCGGCGTTCGGGTCGAATCTTGCGCCCTTGCGCACCTCCTTGATGCCGTACGCCGAGCTCGACGACACGACCGACATGCTCGCGAGGCCGGACATCTTGAACCTGGCGGCGCCCGGCGGGAGGGCCGCCTTTGCCGTCTCGAGCGGCGTCTGGGCGCGAGCCGAGCGAGCGCGCTCGGGCGAGCCCGACGCCATGCGCTGCGCGAGCGGGTTGGTCGCCTTGGCGGCTGACGGGGCGCGGAACGGCTTGAGGGCGAGGGCAGTGGGCTGGACGGCGCTGAGCTGCGTCGAGCGCTGCGAGCTCCCGGCGGCGTTGGCGGCGCCGGCGGACGAGCGGCTCGTGACCATGTCGCCAATCTGAGGTGCAGGCAAGCATGAGCGTAAGTCGGAGGAAAAGAGAGAGAGAAGGCAGCGGGCGCACCTCGATTTCCAGGTCGCCGACGCGAAGAAGGTCGCCCTCGTCGAGCTCCCGCTTGGACATGGTCGTCGTGCCGAGGCTGCAGGTTCGAGGCAGTCAGGCTCGGCTCGCCATGAAGAAGGAGAGCGACTGAGCGCACCGTTTGCCCGTGTCGATGTCGGTCAACTCGGCCTTGTCGCCGCGCAGAAGGAGGATCCCGTCGCCCTCCCAAGTCGGATGCTTCTTCTGCGTGCGCTTGCGCCTGCGAGCGAACGAATCAGGGTCTGCTGCGTCACGTAGTAGAGGCATCGAGACGGACCACTGGCACTGCACGCGAGGAGGGCGAGTCAGAGTGCGCGTGACGGGGAGGCAGGACAGGAGAGGTCGAGGAGGGACGCACGTTGTACCGCTTGACCGCCCCACCGCTCTGCGACACCGTCCAACTGCTGCTCGTCGCGCCGACTGACTTGCCGCCACCAAGCTTGACGTCCGGCGACGAGGACACGCCGTCGCCGAGCACCGTCGAGTCGATCTCGACGTCCATGTCGTCCTCGCTGACGAGCCCGTCGTCCTCGTCCTCCTCGTTCTCCTGCTGCATGACGTCATCGACGTGCCCTCGCCGACTGCTTGACACATCCGACTGCGACGAGTCGCGGCGGAAGAGCGGCTGCGACTTGGCCGACGAGCTCGGGAGGCGGACAGGGAGCGACGTCGTGCGCGCCGGCACCGTCGCCTTGCCGAGAGCACGCTCGAGAGCTTGATCTGCTGCCGACAGGCGGGAGACCGGGCGCGCCGCCGGCGCCGAGCCGACCGCCGCGGACGCCGACCGAGGCGACTCGAGGCGGCGCTTCTTCTGCGACGAGGGCCGCTCGACGTGCTCGGGCGGCGAGTTCTCGAGCTCGTCATCCGAGTCGGAAGACGCGTCGAGGACGGCGCGCCCTTTGCCCTTGCCCTTGGCCGAGCCGTCCCTCGACGCCTTGAGCTCCTCGAGTTTGCGCTCGCGCGCCGCGCGCGCCGAGTCGGACGTGACGGGCGAGCCGCGCTCGGCCACGACGACGGGCGTGCTGTTCTCGCGCAGCCTGCTCGGCATGGGCTGCGAGCTCGTGCTGCTGCCGAGGAGCGGGCGCTTGGCCGCCGAGGCGGGCGCCGGCGGTTTGAACGGCGTGAACTGCTTGACGGCGGGCTGGTTCCAGAGCTTGCCGGTCGACTCGGGCGTGTCGGTGCCGACGACGGGCGTGGCGGCGACAGGGCGACTTGACGAGGACGGGCGCGGCGTGTGCGGCTTCGAGGTCGACCCGGTCGCGATCATGCCCGGCCGCGTGAGGTAGCCCGGGACCGCCTTGGCGGGCGTCGAAGTCGACGAGTGGTCGTCGCCGGCCGAGCCGCCGTGGACGTTGCGGTAGTACTCCTTGAGCGAGATCTCGCTCTCGACCTGCACGAGGGAGCGCGGTCAGTACCCGGGCTCACAGGATGAGGACAGAGGGCGACATGGACGTACTCGGACCTCCTTCTTGTTGCTGATGCTGAACTCGTCGTCCTCGGCCGGCGGCTTGAGCAGGTTCTTGGCGCCGAGGCTGTTCGAGAGGGGAGGAGAGAGGGAGGGTCAGGTCGACGGATACGTCCAGGCCAGAACGAGGGGACACGCACAGAACGCCCTCGTCCGAGTGCACCGTCACGCCGAGTCCACACACGAGCATGAACTGCGAGAGGATGGGTCGTCAGACGGGTCGTCCAGGACGGACGCTAGCGAGAGAGGGGGAGGGGGAGGACAAGGAGGACGAGCGGCTCACCCCGTCGCTGCAAGGGGGGCAAGAGGCAGTAGAGCGTCAGTAACGGTCACTGTCCACTATCCGGCGCACGCGGCCGAGAGAGAGAACGCGAGACGCACGACTCCCACGTCTTGTTCTTGCGCGCCTGGAAGTTGCGCCACTGGACGGTCCACGCGCGCTTTCCGCGAGATCTACCACCTTGATGCGACATCTGCGCAGAGACGTGCGCGAGTCTGGCGGGTCGGAGGGGCGCGAGGTGGCCGAGGGAAGGTCGGGTTTGATGAGGAGGGTTGGGCGGCGAGGGCGGAGGCGGCAGGCGGCGTGGGCGTGTGGAAAGGGGTTCAGGCGGTTGCCAAACGTGTGCTGGAGATGCTGGAGTCGAGCAGCAGGCAGCCTAGGCCGTGTGCGACGAGCGAACGGGGCGAAAGAGCCGAGGCGACGCGGCGCGTCGTCGCTCGTCGCCGGCGGACAGCTTCGCTCGTCTCGCTGTGCGCTCCGCAGAAGTCCAGGGCTGTTGCAAGTGTGCGAGGTGCAGCTCACGGGCCGAGCATCCAGTGCGCGACTCGGGCGGGCTCTCGGACACCTCTTCCACACCGGCAAATTCGCGGCGACTCGGGAGGAGAGGCGATACACAGACTGTGATGCAGGACGACATGCAGAGAGGTACAGAGAGACACAGAAAGACAACAGCCTACGGTAGACGACGCGCCCGAGCCCGCCTTGCCCGCCGCTCGCACTCAAGACCCATAACTCACCGCGCCGACCTGGCTCAGCGTCGGCGCCTCCTTCTCCTCGTCCTCGCCGGCGACACCATCCGTCGTCGCCGTCCCTGGCCGCCTCGTGCTGAGCGACCCCCGCTCCTTCATGTACGAGTCGGCCTCGGTCGACGAGGGCGCGCCCTGGTCGCCCTCGTCGACGCCGAGGACGGCTCGGCGCCGGTCCCGCAACTGGCAGTACCGCGCCGCGCAGGTAAAGGCGCACATGAGGCCCACGAAGGCGATCATGAGGGACGAGCCCTGCGTAAAGGCGGGCGCCGACGTCGTGCGGAAGAAGACGACCTGGAACTGTGGAGGCGACGATGGGGAAGGTCAGTGCGCGAGTTGACGGCGGGCCGAGACTAGGGTGGAGAGGACGGACCCAGGCGTTGAAGGCGTAGCTGACGACTGCAAAGAAGGAAGGGACTGCCTTCAGTGTCCCGTACCTCCAGCGAGACGAACGTTGGGGAAAGGAAAGGGCAAGGGACGCACCGTTCATCGTCGCGAGGACAAGGCTCCTCGCCTGCTCATCGTACACCAGCAGCTCGTTGGCCCACACAAAGTTGCTCATCTGACCGGCGAACGAGATGCTGCAAGATCGCGACTCGAGTCAGCCTCGCTCGAGGTCGCTCAGGTTGGGCAGGGAGGAAGAGGAGAGGCGGGCGCACCCGGATAGGTAAAAGGCGACGTAGTAGGCGCCTCGAGGGATCGTTCCAGGGTGCAGGCCGCCGACGAGGACGAGCGTGGCCGAGACGAGGACGCCCAGTGCGACGACGAGGTTGACGGCGAAGCGGTCCCGGGTGCGGTGGTCGGTCCAGACGGCCTGCTCGACGAGGTGTGAGTCTCGTGCTCGAACGCGATACCGAGAGAGGGGACGACAGAGCGACGCACCGTGACGAGGAGCGCGCCGATGGCGACCGCGTTGAGGCCCATCGGGTAGTGGTTGAGCTGCGCGACCGAGTAGACGGGCTTGCCCGCCGCCGAGCGCTGGAACTTCATCCAGACGGGCATGACGCCCCACGCGCCGTAAGACTCGAGCGCGCCGCCGGCGACCCTGCAGGAGCGCGACAGAGGCAAGTCAGGGAACTGTCGTTGACGGCAACGACGCTGACGCTCGAGCCGCAGGACGAGAGGAGAGGGAGAGGGGACGCACCAGATGAGCGACATGAGCCAGACCTCCCACCGGGCAAAGACGCGGCGCAGGATCGTGCGGTCGAGCTTGGTGGCCTGCCGCGGACCGAGGCGCGAGACGGCGAGAAGGCGCTCCTCGGGCGTGAACATGCGGGAACGAGTCTTGGCCGGCGTGTCGGGGAAGAGGAACAGACCCGATAGTGCGACAGGGACGGCTGCGAGGGACGAAGGTAAGTCAGTGAGTGCGCGAGACGAGGTCCGAGAGCGAGAGGACGACGCGCTGGCTGCGCCAGTCACCAGGAACTGCCACTGCCAGCCCTTGATGCCGTGCACCTCGTTGAGGTTCTTGTACAGCGCGCCTGCAGACAGGACAAGAGGAGGGTCAAGGTCCGTTCGTCGCGAGCCAACGACGAGGTCGAGAGGGCTCACCCTGCAGCGAGCCGGAAAACAGCGAGGCGACCTGGGCCGAGCACGCAAAGATGGCCGTGCGCTTGCCGAGCTCGGTCGGCTTGTACCATGCGCCCATGACGTAATGCTGCGGGAGGTCGAGGAGAGGAAGCAAGGCGGGCAAGTCAGTGCCGGACGAGGTCGAAGACGTGGCCAGGCTAGCTGAGACTCACAGCGCCGATGAAGGTAGACGACTCGGCCATGCCCTGGAAGAACTTGATGACGTAAACTGCGCACGAGAGACGCCGGTGAGCGACGTCGAGACAGGTGAGGAGCGAGGTCGACGGACGGTGCTCAACCTTGGTCGCTCCGGCGCCTGCCATCGTCAAGCCGCCCCAGATGACTGCGTGGACCGAAACATCAGTACGGATGCCCAGAGGGAGGACACGAGACACGTCGAGAGAGGACGCACCTCCATTGAGCGGGAAAAGGATCCTCGGGGGCAGGACGAGGAGGAGGAGGTTCTGCGGGATCTGGGCGATGGCGAAGCCGGCGGTGAAGCAGGCGATGACACTGCGGGAGCGAGGATAATCAGTACGCTGTCCAGATGAAGGTGAGGGACGTCGGGACGCACTTGTTGTACTCGCTGCTGAGCATGCCAAGGTCCTCCTGCGAGGGCGACGAACGAGGTCAGCCTGCTGTCGTCGTCGTCGGCGAGGGCAAGGAGGGGTGGACGCACGCGCAGACCAGATACACTGTGGGGCGTTGGAGGGGAGCCAGGGTCAGCTCGAGGCCAAGGCAGGGAGGGAACGGCGAGGAAGAGGGCGCACTAGGCGCTGATGACTGCGGGCGGGGCAGGGAGGTCAGCGCGTACACGGACGGCCGAGGGCAGGAGGGAGGGAGGACGCACAGTTGACGCGGTCGAGGTCTGCGCACGTGCGACGGGTCGAGGTGAGTGACATTGCCGACCGAGGAGCCGGAGGATGGGGTGGTGCGCACAGTTGAAGCAGAACCTGGGGGCGCGAACAAGGGCAGGTAGGCCAGGTCGCAGAGTAGGCTCGAGGACAGAGAAAGGTGGACGCACACGAGGCACAGGTAAGGGAGGATGAGCCAGTCGGCCTTGCGCAGGAGGGACCGCTCGACCGGGTCGACCGGCTCTGGCCACACGGCAGCGCGCGCACGCGATAGCCAGCGCATGCGACTGTGCGGGCGGTGGTGGTGGTGGCTCGCTCGCAAGCTTGGAGCCAAGGGGAGATGAGGGCAAGGAACGAGGGCCAAAGCTGGCTGGCTGGCGCTGCTCGAGTGTGCAGCTCGATCGTCCGTGAGTTACCGTGGCCGAGGCCCTCATCAAGCTCACGCGCCCGCACGCGCTGAAACCGCATTCAGTTATCGCCCCCGCCCGTACGTAATCGCTTCTTGTCCGCTCCTCCTCCTCCTCCTCCTCCTCGGCGGCTCTTCCTGACCTCGACGCTCAGTCGCCTCTCGCTCGCGTGCACACCTTGAGCAGCCGTCGAGCTCTGTCCTTCGCCCGTCGCCCAGCTACCTCGCCGTCGACTCGCCGCCGCCGTCCACGCCGCCAACTCGCATGCAGTCGCTCTTCTCGCTGTGGAGCTACGTCGGGTGGGCCGGTCCGTCCCCTTGTTCTCCTGCTCTGCACTTTGACCCCGCGCTCACCCCCTGCCCCTCGCAGGCCCTGCCTCGACCTCGCTCGACGACCACGACGGCGCACCTCCCTCGCCCGACGCCGAGCCCGCCTTTCCCTCGCTCCCCGCCGAGCTCGTCCTGCACATCCTCCTGTACATGCTCCCGCCAGCGTCCCACTCGACCCACACGGCGCGCACCTCGCACCTGCGCGCCCTCGCCCTCCTCTCGCGAGACTGCGCTCGGTGGGCCTCGCTCGAGCTGCGCCGCGACGTCCGCCTCGAGACGCACGAGCACGCGACGTGGTTCGTGCGCGACGTCCTGCGGCGGCGAGGGCGCGAGTGGGCGAGCGGCATCAAGGTGCTCCGCCTCGGGCGCGAGTCGGACGAGGACGGGCAAGGCGACGCCGTGTGGCGCAGCTCGAGCGCCGGGCGCACGGTCAAGGACCTGATGCGCATGTGCGAGGGCGTCGAGGAGCTGTGGGTGTGCGGGCTGAGCGGGATCCATCCGGGTGACCTCGCGCCGGCGCACAGTGCGTCCTCGCCCGCTCTCTCTTTCCTTCTCCTCCCCTCTATAGTGAGCCCAAGCTGACCTCTCTCTCGCCCGCAGAGCTTCGTCGGCTGTGGCTCAACGAGTCGCGCGTCACGCCAACCTCGAATCTTGCGGCACCACTCCGCCTTCCTCACCTCGACACCCTGTACCTGCGCGCCGTCATTTTCACCGGCCACGCCCTCCCCCAGCTCCTCGACATCATCGCCCTTCCCTCCCTGCGACACATCGAGTACCACTCGGTTCACCAGTCGTTGGTCTCGCCCGCACCCCGCCTCGCACCGCCTCACGATCCAGCAGTCGTTCCCGGCGGCGCGTCCACCCTCGCCGCCATCACCGCCAACCTCGCCGCACTCCGTCCCTCCCCCTCGTCATCTTCGTCAGCCGTCGAGCACCCTCTCGTCGCCTTTGCGCCCCAGCTCCGCACCCTCGTCCTCACCGACCTCGCCTTCCGGTCCTTCCCCTCGACCGCGCTCGTCTCCCTCCTCGCCAACGCGTCGCACCTCCGAGGCGTGAGCCTCCCACCGGCGACGCTGCTGGGCGACGGCGGTGTCGCCGATGCGCTCGCCTCGTGCCCGGCCCTCGTCGCAGTCCGCCTCTCGCCCGCACATCCTCGGCGCGCCGCTCCCTCGCCAGCGCCGAGCAGCTCGAGCGAGAGAGCTGCTGTACGAGCCGCAGGCTGGCGAGACGCCGCGTTCGACCTCGTCGTCCAGGCGGTGCCCGCGGCCCGAGCGGGCGCGGCGGCAACGGGGCTTCCCGGCCCTCGCGACGCGGCCGGCTCACGAGCTGTCGTCGACGCCGACTCGCCGTCTCGCACGCACGATGACGTGGGCGAGCGAGCCCGATCTGACGAGGCGCTCCACGTCGCGCTCGACCTGCTCGAGCGCAAGGGCGGAGGAGGGGTGGTCACGGTCTGCGCGGCGGGCACGAGCGACGAGCAGGGGGCATCCGACGGTGGACGAGGCGTGGCTACAGCCGGTTCGAGGGTTCTTGTCGAGCGCGAGCGCGCAGTGCCGGCCGTGGACGGGCCGTGGCGAGTCGACGCCGCAAGGTGGCGGGAGCGGCTCGACCTCCTCTGAGCGCGAGGCGTACCCGAGGCGGCGTGTAGCCCTTCTCCTGCACTCGAGAGCTTGTCGACCGTCTCTGCGCGGCTTAGAGAGGTTGCTCCTCGCGTCGCTCGCGAGGTCGACCTCGTCGACGGTCGACCTTCTCAAATGCCGGAGCTGCCGCTCGTCAATGCTCCGCTCGTTCGGCTTTGCGCTCCTCCGATGACGGCGAACCAAGTGGCACACGAGCTGTTCATATTTGGCCGAAAGCGCAGGTACGCGAGAGGCGAACAGCAAGGCGAGCCGGACGAAGAGGCCGGAGCGCAGTCGAGCCTGTCGTACTTGCGACGGCAGGAGTCGGTGGCCGTGCCGAGGGTCGAGGCGGGGACGATCTGCGCGCTTCGCAGGCCTGCGCGCAGACGGTGCGTCTGAGATTTTTGGGTGGGCGCGGTCCGTCCGGCGACTCGGCGCGAGGTGCCGGTGCTTCGCTCCTCGCGCGTCCAACTCGGCTCGACCCTCTCACTTCTCTCCACCCACACAGAGCGCCTCTCTCTCCGCACGCGCGACACTACACCCACCCTACCTCTCTACCAGCTCCCGCCAGCCATGTCGTCCTCGGATCACCTCCCCGTCCAGATTCCCGACGGCTTCGCTCCCCTCGGCACGTCGGGCACCCGCCTGCTCGAGATCGAGCGCGCAAAGGCGTCCTTCTCGCCCGCCGAGTTGCGCGAGTACATCTACGGCAACGAGTACCTCGAGCGCCAGAGCCGCATCCTGCCCATTGTCGAGAACGAGGTGCGTCCCCCCTCCCCGCCCGGTCTCGGCAGCAGCGCACGGTGGCGGCTCGTTCGGGTGGATGGCAGGGACACTTGCTGACCTCGTCTCCTCCCTCATCCACCTCTCCCTACACCGCCCACGTTCACGCTCGCTGTCGCCGTCTCGCCCCCCGGTCCGGTCCCCCACGATCCTCGTCGCGCCCGGCAGCCGGCATTCGACAAGTCCCAGATCCACTACATGAGCCGCGGCGACAAGTACCGCCACGGCCTCCGCAAGGACAAGCGCATGGTGCAGCTCACCCGCGAGCACGGCTGGAGCGCCGAGGACGTCAAGGTGGCCGAGGAGCTCGTCGACATGCCCGCCGCGTTCGGCCTGCACAACTCGATGTTCCTCAAGACGTTGCGGTCCCAGTCCAACGACGAGCAGCAGGAGCTCTTCACCAAGCCCGCCGAGAACTTTGAAATCATCGGCGTTCGTCCCCCCCTCCTCCTCCTCGTCCTTCTTCTCTTTCCCTTTCTCGCGCATCGCCAACTGACTCGAGCTCCTCTCCCGCCGCAGTGCTACGCCCAGACCGAGCTCGGACACGGCTCGAACGTCCAGGGCCTCGAGACGACGGCGACGTACCGCCCCGAGACCAAGTCGTTCATCATCAACACGCCCGGCATGTCGTCGATGAAATGGTGGATCGGCGGCCTCGGTCGCACTGCCGACCACGCTGTCGTCATGGCGCAGCTGTACACGCCCGACGGCAAGGACGGCAAGCTCGTCAAGCGCGGCCCGTTCCCGTTCGTCGTCCCTCTCCGGGACCGCAAGACGCGCGAGCTCCTGCCCGGCCGCACCGTCATGGACATTGGCCCCAAGGCCGGCTACCCGATGACCGACAACGGCACCGCCATCGTGCGTCCTCGCCCTCCCGTCCTCGGTCGTTCTTGCCTGTCGAACAGACTGACCTCCCTTGGCCGCTCGCAGTTCAACAACGTCGAGATCCCGCACATCAACTTCCTCGCCAAGTTCGCCAACGTCGACCCCGAGAGCGGCCGCTTCACGGCGCCCAAGCACGACAAGGTGGCGTACGGCACTATGGTCCGTCCCTCGCTCGACCCTTCGTCTTCGCTCAAGCGAGCACGACCTGACTCGGCCCCTCTCTCGCGCACAGACCTTTATCCGCGCCAACATTGTCCAGCAGGCCCGCATGATCCTCGCACGGTCGGCGACCGTCGCGATCCGGTACTGCGCCGTCCGCCGCCAGTTTGCCGACCGCGACGCGCCCCAGACCGACGACGGCCGCAAGCCGTCCGAGAGCCAGGTCCTCAACTACCTCCTCGTCCAGGCCCGCATCTTCCCGCCGCTCGTCCAGGCGTTCGCGCTCCACTACACGGGCCGCGCCATGATGACGGCGTACAACGCGAGCCAGGCGGCGCTCGAGGAGGGCGACTTTTCGCTCCTCGCCGACGTGCACGCCTCGTCGTCGGGCCTCAAGTCGCTGTCGACGATCATGGCGTCGAACGCGATCGAGGAGTGCCGCCGGGCGTGCGGCGGCCACGGCTACTCGCTGTCGGGCGGGCTCGCGTCGCTGTACGCCGACTACCTGCCGCAGGTCACCTGGTGCGCCTCACGCTCTCTCCCTCTCTCTCGCTCTCTCCTCCTGCGAACCTCGTCCTGACCCTCTCGTCCTCGTCGTGCGCGCAGGGAGGGCGACTCGTACATGATCTCGCAGCAGACGGGCCGATACCTGTTCAAAACGATGCGCTCGGTGCTCGCCGACCGCAACTCGCCGGCCAACAAGGCCAACGACACGGCGCAGTACATCACGCGCTACGTCGACAACCCGAACGCCAAGGCGCCGTTCAAGTACGCCGGCGACCTGTCGGACCCGCAGATCTTTGTCGACGCGTTCGCGCACCGGGCGGCGTACCTCACGGCGACGGCGCTCCGCAAGCGCGACATCGAGAAGCGCACCTGGAACGACCTCCTCATCGACATCTTCCGCATGTCGTGCGTCTCGCTCTCCCTCTCCCTCGCCCACGACCTTCCCAAGTTACGCAAACTCACCCACTTTTGCCTCGCAGGACGGCGCACTCGCAGTTCATCCTCGTCAACAACTTTGCGCAGGCGATCATGCACGACGAGGAGCTGGCGAGCAAGCCGGCCGTGCACCGCATCATGACGACCTGCTTCGAGCTGTTCGGTGCGTCCCCCTTCTTCGCCCTCTCGGTAAATCTTTCCCGCAGCCAACGTCCTGACCCTCGCCCCTTGTTCGTCGTCGCAAACAGCCTGCTACACGATGGACACCGAGGCGTCCGAGTTCCTGTCGTCGGGCTACCTGCAGCCCAAGCAGCACGAGCTGCTGCGCTCGCGCACGCACGCGCTCCTCGCCGAGCTGCGCCCGCAGGCGGTCCCGCTCGTCGACGCGTGGGGCTGCCCGGACTACCTCCTCAACAGCGCGCTCGGGCGCGCCGACGGCAACGTGTACCCGGCCCTGGTCCGATTCGCGCAGGGCGAGCCGCTCAACGAGACGCGGTTCAACGTCGCCATCGACGAGGACGAGCTCGAGGTCGGCAAGGAGCAGGGCGTGCGCGCGTGGACCAAGCTCTAGACGGGCGTGCGCGACGACGACGTCGACAGCAGAGGGCCGGCGCAGCCCCAAGTTTTTTTGCCTTTCCTCCTCCCCCTCCTCGAGCTCTCGAGTTTTCTGCAGTACCCCCCTTTTCCATCGCCGTGCACCCCTCATTGTATTCGCAACCACGTGTTCCCACTCCCGTCTCGCCTCGCCCCGAGAGCGTCGAGAGCTTCCCTGTCTCGTCGTCGTCGTCGCCGCACTCGCACGGACCTCGTCTCCCTCGCTACCGCTCGTGCTCCTCGGCGCGTCCTGCTCCGTCTCTCGCTCGCCTTGACTGTCTCTCTCGTGGTTCTCTCGGCCCGCACGACATTTCTCGAGCGCCCGAACTCGACGCCCTCGTCTGCGTTCGTCGGCTCGGACCGCTCTCGAGGCTCGCTCGTCTTTGCGCTCCTCGTCGCCAATGCGAGAGCCTTTCTTCTCTCACGTCTGCGCTCGGCTGTGGTAGTCTCGTGCGACCCTCTCGTTGTCGCGCTGGCTCTCGCTGTAGCGCCGCCTCTCGAGCTCTCGACCCTCTCAGCCGCACGGACCGCTCGCTCGCTCACGACGTCGCCCAATGCAGCACCGGCGAGCCCAGCACGGCAAGGCACGCGACAAAGACCAACGAGCGCGAGATGGACCGGGCGCGGCGGCGCGAGGGCGGGTACGGGTCGCCCCAGATCGGGTGGGCGATGCTGCGCCCGGGCGCGGACGAGGCGTTCGGGCTCGAGTAGACCTGCGCGTCGAGGGGACGGGGAACGTCAGGGGGGTCGTCGTGGTTGGAGCGAGAGAAGGAAGAGAGCGAGTGCGGCGCACCTCGAACCGCCGAAAGTAGCTTGTTGCGGCGGGCGAGGTCGGCGAGTTGTACGTGTCGTCGCCGCCGCCAAAAAAGGTGCTGAACAGGACGGCGTCGAGCGTGACGTTGGGGTTTGTGCGCCACAGGATGTCGGTGTGCGACAGGACGAGGTGGTCGTCCAGGTACAGGTGGAGAAGGCCGTTGGCGAGGGGAGGGTCGTTGAGCGAGACGAGCTGCGTGATCGTGTGCCACCTGTCGTTCGAGGGTGTCAGAACGTCGCGCAGAGACCGTGTGTGTCGACAGAGAGAAGAAAGAACGGGACGGACCGAGCGCGCTCGAACCGAAAGCTGCCGCGAGACAAACTTGTGCCAAACGCTTTATCGCACGCGACGTCTCCCCTCCTCTGGCCCTCCTCGCAAAAGCCGGCGTACGTCGGGACGTAGGCGTACACCTCGCCGAGGCCTTGCGGGCGCCACATGAGGCGCGCCGAGACGCACGAGTCGAGGTGGCGGCCGCCGACGCACAAGGTACGGCCGTGCCTCGACGACGAGGTGCCCGACAGGCCGGGAAGCTTGCCGCCCTTGACAAAGTCGAACGTCGGGTCGAAGGCGACCTGTTGCGCAGAGAGGTGTCAGCTTCGGGGTCGAGCAAAGGGAGAAGGAGAGAGCGAGGCGCACCTCGTACTTGAGGAGGGCCGTCTGTGCGTGTCCGTGCTTGGTGCCGAGGACGCGCATTTCGAACTGCTCTCCAGTGCGCGAGCCTGGCGGGTACTCGATGGCGAAGACGGCCTGGTCGTTGGCGGGGTCGAACGGGTCGCGAGTGAAGGACGAGCAGTGGGTGTGGTGTGTGTGGGTGCGGTAGGCGTGCTGGACGAGCTCGGTGGTGCGGGTGTGGTTCCTTGGTGAGCTGGCGAGGGCTGTGTCGAGGGTGGGCTCTGTCGAGAGCCAGTGAGACGAGGGCGAGAGGGCGAAGTGGGCGGCGAGGTTGGCGGGTGAGGCGGTGGTCGGGACGGCTGGGCGTGAGGGAGCGAGGCCCATGGCAGGGGCGAGCCGAGTCGAGGGAGCAGGGTGGCTGGACAGAGGACGAGAGCGAGAGCGTCGTTGGCTTGTCGACGACTCCGACTCGGAGGAGCGAGCGGCGGGGAGACAATGGCTCGCTCTCGCTTGGGCAGGGAGGCGCGCTCTGTGGACGCGCCAATCCAGCTGTACACCCGGTCCACGAGCAGCACCACTCTGCAGAGCGAGCTGGTGACGACAACGAGCTGCCGAGAGATGAGACTCGCGAGCCGACGCGCCTCACTCTCGCTCTCCTCCCTCGACCAGCTCACCGACGAGTACCTGCGACCCGGCACTCCTCGCCACGCACCCACCATGCGCCTCGCACTCGTCCCCGCCGCCTCGTTCCTCTCGCAGCCCGCGCCCTCCGCCTCGGACCCGCCCCTCGTCTTCATCGACCGCGAACCCTTCCTCGTCGAGCTCCAGGGCTCCCTCGAGGGCCCGACGGGCGAACCCTCGGCCGGCATAGAGGCCTCGAAAGCACCACACCTCATCGACGGCGCCCGCGTCGGCAAGGTCGACCTCTCCGACCCGGTCCGTCCTCCTCCTCCCTCTCTCTCCCTCTCTCTCGCGCACTCTCACTCACTCGCACGTCGCACGTCACAGAAGAAACCCGTCTTGCGCATCGCCCACCACCGCCTCGAGGGCAAACTCGAGACGCTCCTCACCCCGTACGCCCTCCTCCGCACCTCGCGCGCTCCCCCACCCTCGTCCGACGACACCGCCGAGCCCGCCTCCAAGCGCCCACGCCTCTCGCCCTCGCCTGGCCCACCAACGACGACGCCGACGCCGACGACGACGACGACGACGACCCGCATCGAGCTCGTCGCCCTCATCCGGCGCAAGCTCGTCTTCTCAAAACGGCCCGAACCCCTCGTCGACGTCTCGAGCGAGGCCGACCCGCTCTTTGCCGACAAGAAGCGCCGTGCGCTCGCCGAGGGGGCGGGAGGGGGCGCCGCAAAAAGGGCGAGGGACGACAGGGAGAGGGACAGGGGCGGCGCCGCGGCGGGTGCAGGTGCGGGTGCGGGTGTCGGGGCGGGCGCCGGCGGGGGTGCGGGTGCGACGACAAAGGCGCCGGCCAAGGGCGGCTTCTTTGCGCCGAGAAAGGCGCCGACGGCGACGGCGAGTGCGGCGGGAGGTCCGACAGGAGGCGCGACAGGAGGGAGCGCCGAGGGCGCACCACGGGCGCCGGGCGGCGGTGCGGCGTAGCGCGTATCGTCGACGAGGTGCACTGCTTGACGTCGACCGCCTCGCCGAGCCGTACCGAGAGCCGACGACGAGAGGAAAAGCCCAGGCTCTGCGCATCATGCGACGGCCGAGACGGGCGACGGCGGGTCACGCTTGACGGGCCGCACGTGGACGCGCTGTCCCGCTCGAAGGATGTCGATGACCTGCGGCGAGAGAGGACGAGAGCGTGAGCGGGTGTGCAACCGTCGAAAGGAAAGGGACGAAAGAGAGGGTGCGCGAGGCGAGACGCACCTGGTCAATGTCGAAACATGAGAGCTTAGTACGTGAAACATGAGAGCTTAGTACGTTAGCCATGAGAGCTTAGTACGTTAGCCATGAGTGGGAGCGACAGGAGGTGCAGGTGGAGGTGGTTGACCTGCGGGATTGGGAGGGCGACGAGGGGTCAGGCTCGGTCGCGCGCAAGACAGGACTCGAAAAGGGATTCTTGACGCACGGAGAAGAAACTGCGGCGAGACAGTCGGTACCGAGGAGGCAAATCGTGAGCACCTCGTTGCGCTTCGGCTGCAGCGCGAGGGACAAGTCGCTCACGGCGGGATGTGGAAGCCCAATCTGCGCACGATCGCCAACGAGTGGCAGAGTCAGCTCCTCGCTCGTGCAGCGAGAGAGAGAGAGAGCTCTGTGGACGGCGCGGCGACGCACCTCTGCTCGCCCTCGGGGACGCCTTGCTCGACGAGGACGCGCCGGCCGAGATGCTTCATGCGCTCGACTGCGGGCGTGTAAGAGCGGGAGGTGGTCACCTACGCGCGGTCTCGAGGACTGAGCGGCGAAAGGACCCGCTTGAGCGAGCTCTCCCGCCGCAGTGCGAGAACGAGCCGACGCACGCATGCTGACGTCCTCAACCTCGAGCGTCTTGACGCTGTCTGCGTGGACGACGTCGATGTCAGTCTCGTCATCAAGGCCGCCCTGAAGAGCAACGACGCAAAGAGGCCGTCCGCAGGGTTCGCAAGGGGGAGGGGAAGAGGGCCGACGACGCACCGACGTGGCGCTTGGGGACAGCGAGCAGGTGCACCTTGCTGCCCGGGCTGCGGTCCTTGAAGACGACGAACTCGCCATCCTGCGGGTGCCCGACGAGCCGAGTCAGCGTCATCGAACGAAGCTCGCGAGGAGGAGGAGAGGGAGGGGGAGGGAGCGCACCTCGTGCACGACGCGGAACCCAGGCGACGTCGCTGTGACCCCGCAGAAGATGCAGTCCTTGGCGGGAGCGCCATGTGCCGGTGCTGCGCCCATGGCGGGCTTGGTCGAGTCTCGAGGTGGGGTTACGATGAGGTCGTCGTGCGAGGGCGAGGGGCGCAGGCGCGAGAAGAGCGGGGCGCAGGTCGACAGGAGGCTGCCGAGCATCCACTCGACGGTCGCTACAGCGGATGAGGAGGGCAAGCTCTCGCCGTCGCTCTCCTCCTCTGAGGTCTCGGACTTTGCTCGCAACTGGGTCTCTCACTCTCACAAGGGTTCACACGGAGTGCGCAACAGCTCGACAGCTTACATCGCTACACGCCCCTGCCGCTCCCCCTCTCGCTGCTGCCGCCTCCTTCTCGGCTCGACCAGCCCGCGCTGCTCCCCCTCGCACTGCTCCCGACGCTCGCGTCGCGCGCTCGCCGCTTCTCGTCCCTCAGACCCTGCAGCACCCGCACGCCCGCGCGGAGCTTGGCGCCGGGCCCTTCGCCGATCAGGGCGGAGCTGGCGAGCATCGCCGGCGTCGGCGTCGGCGACTGCGCCTGGCTCGTCGTCGACGACGGTGCGGGCGAGTTGGTGCGGGAGGAGGGTGTCGAGCTCGATGAGGGGAGGGTACTGCTCGAGGTTGTGCTGACGCTCGTGCGGGCGAGGGAGGAGGAAGAGGTCGGCGGCGCCGGGTCGAGGAGCTGCGAGCGAGGCAATGTCAGTGCAGGCTCCTCTACTCGCGCTCATACATAGCCACTCGAGCCCCGATGTACGAGGTGCGAGAGGCAAAGAGAGGGCAAGAAACAACCGTAGGGACGCACCACGACCTCCCGCTCGAGCCTCCTCACCATGTCGTCCACCTCGCCCACGTCCCTCCCCCTCGCCCACAGCTCCCAGTCCTCGCTCTCGAGCGTCCTGACGAACCGCCTCCTGACCTCTCCCCCCGTGTCCCGCACCCGCTTCTCGGCCCACCGCTCAAAGTTGGCGCCATCGACGAACCGCGAGTAGAACCGCTCGGTCGCGGTCGAGCCCGGCTGCGAGAGCGAGGGCGCGCCCGACTTGAGGGGCAGGGGCGAGCCGTGCGCGCGGAGCGAGGTGAGGAAGGCCGAGCGCGAGAAGCGCGTGCTCGGGAGCGGTGACGGGCCGGGCGAGACGAGTGGTGCGCTGCGGGTCCAGGTCGAGGGCGGGTCAGTACACGGTCGTACTCGTCGCCATCGACGGCGGCGAGCTAGAGAGAGAGGTATGGGTGAGGGAAGGGAAAGGACAAGAGAGAAACGTCGGCGCACCGTGCGGCGACGGCCTCGTTGCCGGCCCAGAGCGTGCCAAAGTACCGGCTGAGGGGCGCTAGGAACCGCTCGGTCAACGCCGCAAAGTGCCGATAGATGACGGCGTCGCACGCGAGGTCTGTACGAGGAGGATCGGCCGGGACGGTGTTCTCAGGCTCGAGTCAGTCGAGCCCGCTCGTCGGCGTAAGAGAGAGAGGGAGAGGACCCGGGACGCACAGTCGCCCCGCCGCCACAGCTCGGCAATCTCCTTCTCGACGGCCTCGTCCTTCTTGACGTGCCGCTTGCTCGTCGTGCGCAGCCCAAACTCCTTGCCCGCGCCGCCGCCGCCGCCCGTCGAGCCGTCGTCGCCGCCACCGCCGTGCTGCGACCCGTTGCCGTTCGACGCCGAGCGCTGTCGAAGAGGCGCAATGCCGGACGGGGAAGAAGATGCGGCGGAAAGAGGGAGGGAAAGAGTTGGCGAGGAGGAAGGCGAGGTGGAGGAAGGTGCGGGTGCGGCGCGGTCGAGGCGCAGGACGTGCGGCCAGTGCTTGCACGTCGACAGGAGGAGCGGGTTGGTCGACGCGACGAGGAGGCCTTGAGGAGGCTGCGGGGCGAGAGGAGGGCGTCAGAACGCCGGCGGTGCAAGGCGACCGGCGGACCGGCTCGAGGTCGACGCGCCGGACCAGAGCGCGGAACGAGGGCGACGCACCTTCTTGCCCGCCTTGCACAGGTTCGCAAATTCGACATCGTGCACGTGAAAGTAGGGCCGCACGTCGCCGGCGAACGGTATCTGCGCACGATCACCCGGGCTGCTTGTTAGGACGAGGTCGTCTTTGCGAGGCCGGCGGCGCCCGACTAGACGAAGAGAGATCGAGGGACGCACAGGCTTAATGAGCGCCTTGAGCGCCTCGACGACCTCGGCGCCGACTCGTGGCTCGGCCGCCCACACGAGGAGCGGCTCGCCGAGCGCGACGAGCTCCCACAGGAGGAGCAGCTTCGAGTACCCGACAGGCCCAATCTCGCCGTGCCCTGACGATGTGGGCGACGATGATGATGCGGGGGGGAAGAGGAGGAGGCAGAGAGGCGTCGAGGGAAGTGAGGCGGGGAGGATGGACGGCGGGCCCGTGAGGAGCGGTAGGTGCGTCGCGCCGCGCGAGAGGTGCCAGGCCGCAGGTGTCGGCGGGAGGGCTGGTGCGGCGGAAGGTGTGCGTCGCAGTGGCGCGGATGAGGGCGAGTTGCCCTTCGAGGAGGAGGCTGACGCGGGAAGGGGGAATTGTGCTTGCGAGGGGAGGGGGATCGAGACGGTGAGGACCGAGCCGAGGAAGGGTAGCTCAAGGGTCGCGCCAGGTGTCGGATCGGGCCTGTGGGACGGCGTGACCGGCAAGTCAGGTTCGTTCGCTCGGTCTTTGCGAGAGGCAAGAGAGACGGTTCGACGCACCAGCTCGCGATGTTGTGGCACGCCGTCTCGACCATGCCGCCTCGTGCGCCTCCTGGTTGTGCATGCTTGAAGTGGAGCGGACCGAGGATCGACACGAGGGCCGAGAAGAGGCCCGAGAGGGCGGGGAGGTGCGAGATCTGTGAACGGCCGCGAGAAGGTGAGGGTTTGCTACATCGCCGGTCACGCCGAGCGCACTCGGCGCACACGGCGTTGCAATGATGCTCAAGAGGAAGAAGCCGACGCACGAGCACCAGTGACCGCTGCGAGTACCCTCGCCGCAGCCGCTCGTCCTGCGAGAAGGAGAGCCGAATCAGTTCTGCTTCTGGTGCCGCCGCCTCGAGATGGGGGACAGAGAGACGCACCTTGTCCCGCACGAACCACACAAAGCCGTGCAGCGCGCCATCGGCCCCCTCGCCCTCGGGCAACCGCAACAACCTCGCCTCGTCCTCGTCCTCGCCGTCGTCCACCACCTCGAGGTCGAGCCGCGCGAGCTCGTCCTCGCCCGCGTACGGCACCCTCCAGTGGTACGCGTAGCCGCCGTCTGGCAGCTGCTCCGGGTGCGGAAGCCCGACGGCCTCGGGCATCGAGCTGAAGGCGACGTTGGCCCTCGTCGAGGCGGGGAGGCGTGCGGGCGGGTACGCGTTGTCGAGGTTGGGGCCCGTGTCGACGTCAAAGTCGACGAGCGCGAACGAGATGATCCACCGGCGCACGAGGGCGAGCTGGTCGGGCGAGAGGTGGAAGGTCGGGAACGAGATGCGGCGAGTGAGCGTCTCGCGCTTGCGGTGGTGGGGCCGAGGTCGTCGCTCGCTGTCGAGAGCGGCCATTGTCGAGAGAGCGCGCCGTGCAGGCCGTCGAGAAGGGTTGCGGTCGACGACGAGGTGGTGGGGCAGCGATGACGGCGAGGAGAGTGGGGGCGGCTGTGACGACGCTCTGCGCTGCGCGTGGTGCAAGTGCGAGGTGGCGCAGAGCTCTGCGGGCCGGATGCTCCTGAGCGGCGAGCGGACGGGGCGAGGTGCTGGCCTCGCTCGTTCTCCTCCTCGATCACTCCGGTTCGGACCTTGATTAAAATCCGCTTGCGGGCAACTCTCTCTCTCGCGCAGCGTACCTCGCCAACCTCGTTCGTACTCGCGCTCTCATGTGAAGCGCCCGCACCGGCGCGACCGCAAAAGCCACGGATCGCTTCCTCGCGAGGAAAGAGGGCGAGCTGGCAGCTCGAGCGCGACGACGACCTCGCTCGACGGTTAAGACCGAGTCAGAGCAGCTTGTAGCGTGCGACACGCGTGCGGCGCGGAAAAGAAGAAGCAGAAATAAGGGCAGCGAGAGCGGGAAGAACACGCTCGAGCGCCCCGAGGCCAGGCGCCGGCGACGACGAGCGTGCAGGCCGACGAGCGGGTGCCCTTCGAGCACGCCTGCTCACGCGAGAGCAGAGCGATAGACAGAACCCGTCGACTTGAGGCGCGAAGCACGAGAGCGAGCAGAAGCCCTGACTTCGAGCCGTCTCGCAGCGCGTGCAGGAAACATTTGGCGGCCCGCGCTCGACGGTAGACCTCGACAGCGCCGAGCACGATCTCTGCGAACCGCCGCCAAGGTAGAACGGGCCGCGCATGGAGCGAGCGGGGCAGGTGCCGGCCTGGGGGGAAAGACGGATGCTCGGGCGGCGGGTGACAAAGCGATTGGGCTCGAGGCGGCTTGCGTAGCCGTGTAGGGTCCGACACGACCTGTGGCGAGGTACTGGGCCGCCGCAAAGGGCCTGTACTGGGCCGGACGACGGAGGACGGCGGAGAGCTGATGAGGACGGAAAGGCCGAGGTGCGGGAGAAGCGAGGGGAGCTGGGTGGAAGCCGGGCGGTGTCGGACGAGGCTGAGCAGTGCGCGCGCGATGCAGGCCAGTCGACAGGCCTGCAGAGCTGGTTGTGGGCGAGTGAGAGCCGCTCGCCGTCGTCGTCGTCGTCCGGAGTTGCCGCTCTTGCGACTCGTCGTCGACCGCACTCGCTGCTGCATCGTCGAAACCGCCCAGGGCGGCTCATACCTGCGCCCGGTCCGCCCACCACAGCGCTGCCGCCATGGCGCTCCCTCACCACCGCCGCACCCCGAGTGCACCGCCTTCCGCCCCGTCGCGCCGACCTGTCGCCGTCGTGACAGCCGCAGTGGCGCTCCTGTGCCTCCTGTCCCTCCTCTTGACCGCCCCTCGACACGCCCCGACCTCGCCCTCGGCACAGCGCGTCACCTCGCTCCTCTCCCTCACCTCGCTCTCGTCCCCTCTCAACCGCGACCGCGACGATGACCCGGCCTCGACTGCCGCCCTGTCGTACCGCCGCCAGCTCGAGCGTGCAACCTCGCAACACTACCTCAACGCGTCGCGCCACTGGTTCGACCACGTCTACGTCCTGTCGCTCCCCTCGCGCGACGACCGCCGCCAGGACATGCGCCGTCTCGCCGACGCACTCGGCATCCAGGTCGAGTTTGTCGACGCCGCCGACAAGCATGAGCCTTTCATCCAGTGGATCGCAGAGCGGGTCGTCGAGAGTCGCTCCCTCAGGAGGAAGGAGATGGTCCGTCCCCTCTCTCCTCCCTTCTCCCTCCTCGCAACCCCTCGGCCACTCTCGCAGACACACCTCTGACCTTGTGATGTCCCCTCGCAGGCCAAGGCGCGCGGTGTACCCGCATCCCGCATCGGCGGCCTGTCGATCCGGTCCGACTGGCTCACGCCGTTCCCGGGCAACGGCTCGTCGCCTGTCGCCGCCGAGCGAGGGCGCTTCCCCGACTTCCCGAAGCAGTCGTGGGACGGCGGGTCCGCCTCGCCGCAGACCTGGGTCGAGCACCTCGAGACGCTGCACAGCGACGGCGGGCGGCACACGTCGCTGCGCCCAGCCGACGCCGACCTGAACGTGACGGCGGCGCTGTGGGACCCGCGCGAGAAGCTCGCCGTGCGCCAGGTGCACGAGGGCGTCCTGTCGACCTACTGGGGCCAGACGCGCGCCATCAAGCGCATGCTCGACAACGGCGACCGGCGCGCGCTCGTCCTCGAGGACGACGTCGACGTCGAGTGGGACGTCCAGTCGCTGTGGGAGTCGATCGCGCGCAAGCTGCCGAGGGATACCGAGGGCGACGACGCGTGGGACGTTGCCTATTTGGGGCACTGCTGGGGCGGCGAGTATCAAGGTGCGCCCCTTCTCTCTCTCTCTCTCTCCCTCTCTCTCTCTTCGTTACGGCGCTCTGACACTCTGCCTTGCCCTTTCTGCAGAGCCCATGTACCTTCACCCTCTCCTGCACCCGTCGACGGCACCCATGTGCCTGCACGGCTACGCCCTGTCGCGCCCGGGCGCCCAGCACCTCCTCTCGTCGATGCTCGACCCGTGGCGCGCCTTTTCGGCCGCCGTCGACGCCGTCGTGCCGGCGCTCCTGCACGCGCAGCGGGCCCTGCCGCGCTCGGCGCCCGAGCACCCGCTCGTGCGCAGCTACAGCATCGTGCCGCCGCTCGTCGTGCAGCGCAAGGACGGGCCGAGCGACCTGCAGCGCGGGACGGGGAGCCCGTGGCGCGGCGTCCTGCGCGACTCGACGGTCGAGCGCATCCGCAGGGACCAAGGCGTGTGGCACGACGGGTGGGAGGACCGGTACGACGAGCGCGAGGGCAGGGCAGATCCGGCGACGGTGCTCCGGTGCGGCCAGGGCTGAGGGCGACGTAGCGCTCGGCAACGATGTTCTCCTTTAACTGTCTCTCGAGTACTTGCGAGAGAGACCCAGGCCTCGCGGCACGTTGAACTCGAGCTGGCGACGTTGCCGCGGACTTTGCGAGGAGGAGGAGAGCCCGCCGCAGAGCGAGTCGCTTTGCAGCCGCCCTCAGCCGTGATGCCTTCTTGGCTAGACTGCACCCTACTGCGCGCACAAGCAAGCCCCGTGAGAGATGCCGGCTCTCGCTCGAGACGACGAAAGCTGCCCGCGTGGGGACGAGCCTCTGCTCGCTCACCACCGCGACCCGCTGCAGCTCGCTAGCGCACACTTGCTCAGCATGGCCAGCCGTGAGACCGCAGGCTCGCCCTCGCCGTCCAACACGCCGTCGGCGACCCCGACCCCCGTCCCCCAGATCCCGCCTCATCAACCGGCCAACCCTGGCCTCGCGTCGTCCTCGCCCGGCGCAGCACCAGGCGCAGCATCCCCGGTCTATGGCTCGCCGAGAGGCGCGAACTCGCCCATCGCCCAGCCGGGCCAAGGCGGCCTGTCTCGCACTCGCTCGCCCGCCGTCAACGAGCCCCTCCCCTCGAACGCCCTCCCCGACTCGTCGCCCGCACTCCAGCCACAGCTCACCGACGAGCAAAAGGCCGACGTCATCCGCCGCCACCTCCTGTCGGCCGCCGAGCAGCACCGCGTCGCGCAAGACCAAGCCCTCGCCTCGTCCTCCCCCGCCGCTCGTTCCCCCGGGTCCGCCTTCCCCCAGTTGGGCACGAGCCCGGCCCTCCGCTCCAACTTGCTCGACCTCGGCAGCGGCGCCGGCACGGGCGACAGCGACGAGTACCCGACGCCGTACCACCTCGAGGGAGGAGACGTCGTCGCCGGCGTCTACAAGGCTGTCGGCGCCCTCAACCCGTCGGCGCCCTCGATCCGCCGCTCAAAGTCGCTCGCGTCGATCGGCGCAGGCGGCGGCACGACCTCGCGCCGCGTGTCGAACGCCGGGCCGGCAGCAGCAGATGGCGCCGCGGCTTTCCGGGCCGGCCTCGCGCACGACGTCGGCGCCGACGTCGTCGCCGCCGCCGACGAGCCATTCGTCGACGACGACAGCAACGCCGAGCTGTCGACGGCCGAGATGCTCCAGCCCGGCGGCTTCCGGCGCGACTTTGTCTTCCGCAAGGTCGCCGCTCGTGTCGGCGGCGGGCCCGAGCCGGGCAGCGACGCCTCGTCGCTCCAGTCGTACTCGGGCACGCCAGGCGGCAATGGCGGCGGCGGCGGCAACCCGAACGCGAGCGGCGTCTCGCTCGCGTCGGCGTCGGGCGTGTCGCTCGTGCGGCCGGCGGCTCCTCGCCCGACGCGGTCCTTCATCGACTTCCTGAGCCTGTACGGCCACTTTGGCGGGGAGAATCTCGAGGAGATCGAGGAGGAGGACGAGGAGGACGAGGACGAGGACGAGGAGGACCCCGCGGCGCAAAGCGGCCTGCGTCGTCGGGGCGGGGCGGGCGCAGATGAGGAGGCGTCGGTCGTCGGGCGCCCGGGCCTCGGGCGACGAGGCTTGACGGGCGAGCGCGCACCGCTGCTTCGGGCGCGCAGCACGCTCGCGCGGGGCGACAGCCGCAAGCGGTTGAGCGTCGCGAGCGCCAAGGAGGCGGGCGAGGCGGCGCCGCAAGGCGACGCGAGCGTGACGCAGGCCGTGCTCATGCTCCTCAAGAGCTTCGTCGGCACGGGCGTCTTGTTCCTCGGCAAGGCGTGCGTCCCTTTTTCCTTCCTTCCCCTTCTTCCCTCGCACGGTCCCTGACGACCCGTCTCTCTCGCCCACAGGTTCCTCAATGGTGGCGCCCTCTTCTCGACCGTCGTCCTGTGCTTCATCGCCATGATTTCGCTCTTCTCGTTCCTCCTCCTGGTCGAGACCCGGCAGGCCGTCCCTGGCTCATTCGGCGGTACGTCCCTCGTCCTCTCGCCTCATCCTCTCAAGGCCCGACACTGACCTCGAGCACGCACTCGCAGACATTGGCGGCAAGCTGTACGGCAAGTGGATGCGGTGGGCCATCTTGACCGCGATCGTGACCTCGCAGGTGAGCCCCTTCCCAAACCCTCTCGGCGCGGCACGAGCGCCGCAAGACGTCCAGCTCGACTTTGAGCTACTCTTGACGCGCATACTCCCCCTCGTCAACAGATCGGCTTCGTCGCGGCATACACCATCTTTGTCGTGCGTCCCTCGCTCCTCTTTCTGGACCGCAACTTGGGCCTCGCGCACGAGACTAACCCGGGCACCACGTCGGACAGGCGCAAAACCTTCAAGCCTTCTTCATGGCCGTCACCAACTGCCACACGTTCATCTCGGTGCCGTACCTCATCATGGCGCAGCTCGTCATCTTCCTTCGTGCGTCGCCTCGCCCTCCTTCTCCTCCGTCGGCTCCACTTGCGCCCTTTTCTGACATTCTCTCTCGTCCCGCAGCTCTCGCCCTTATTCGCAACATCCAGAAGCTGTCCGGCACAGCGCTCGTCGCCGACGCCTTCATCCTCATCGGCCTCATCTACATCTTCGGCAACGAGATCAAGGTCCTCGTCGACCATGGCGCCGCCGACGTTGTGCTCTTCAACGGCAAGGACTTTCCCCTCCTCATTGGGTGAGTCTGCTTCTCCTCTCGATGATCCGTCGAGCGGCAGTAGCCGGCGTTGGGCCTTGATCGGGTCGAGCAGATGCTCACCCTCTCATCACTCGCGCAGCACGGCCGTCTTTGCGTTCGAGGGCATCGGGCTCGTCCTCCCCGTCTACGAGTCGATGCGCGAGCCGCAAAAGTTCACGCGCGTCCTGTCGGGCGTCATGGTCGGCAGCATGGTCCTGTTCGCGAGCGGCGGCCTGCTCGCGTACCTCGCGTACGGCTCCGACATCCAGGTGCGTGGCTTACTCTCTCTCTCGCTCTCGTTCGCTCTCAGCGAGCTCCACTGACCCTCGTCGAGCCCTGCAGACGGTCGTGTTCATCAACCTCCCGCAGGACGACAAGCTCGTGTCGGCGTCGCAGTTCCTCTACAGCATCGCCATCCTCCTCTCGACGCCCCTGCAGCTCTTCCCCGCCGTGCGCATCATGGAGAACGGCCTCTTTGCGCCGCAGAAATCGGGGAAGAAGAGCGTCAAGGTCAAGTGGGAGAAGAACAGCTTCCGCACGCTCGCCGTCGTCGGGTGCTCGATCCTCGCGTGGGCCGGCGCCAAGGACCTCGACAAGTTTGTCAGCCTGATCGGCAGTGTCGCCTGGTGCGTCCCCTCTTTCCCTTCTCTCTATCTTCCTCGACGTCGAGTAACGCTCGAGCCCCCTTCTGACGGCCCCACCTTCTCGCGTGCGCAGTGTTCCCCTCGGCTTCGTGTTCCCGCCGCTCCTGCACCTCAAGGCCTGCGCCCACACGCGCAAGCAGAAGGCGGTCGACATCGCCCTCTTGTCGTTCGGCGTCGCCGCCGCCATCTTTTCGTCGACGCAGACGGTGCGTCCCTCGCCTCTCGCCTTTCCTTCTCCTCTGCCGCGCCTCGCCTCGAACCGGATACTAACACGTGCGCCTTACCGTCGTCACTCGCAGATCCAGATGTTCCTGTCGGGCAGCGAGCCGGGCGGCCCGACGTTCGGCAAGTGCCCGCCGCCGTCCTGAGCGTGCACAAGCGCTTCGCCGTCTCGTCAAGATCGTCGGGCCTCGTTCTGGTCGGTATCGCCGGGACTGGCTCCTTGGTCTCGCAGGTCGTGGCTTAGAGATCGGTGCGAGGAAAGAAGAGGAGAGAGGGAGGGGAGGAGGAGCCCGTCTTGGGAACGTCGTTGTGTCTTTGTCGCCTGCATTCGCATCTCGTTGCTTGTTCTGCGAGCTACCGAGCGTTGTGTGCTTCGCGAGAGCAGGCAGGGCCGCCGTGCTCGAGCACGCTCGCCTCGTGCGCGAGTTGCGGATGGTCGTGCGGAACGTGTCCTCGCTGCTTCTCGGAGCCCAGTCCTTCTTGGCTTGACCCTGCCTTTGCCGCTCGCGAGCACAGAAGGAGAGTGCATCTCTCGCGCCGCTCAGCTGCTCTTGGGGACGAGCTGCCGCAGTGCCGCCTCGCGCGAGATGCGACATACGGCGCTCGGGCCTCTCGCGACGATCCGGCCCACTTCGTCGACTCATTCGCGAGCGTATCGAGCACGACGCCGGCAGACGCAGAGCACGTCGTCTTGCATGTCGTACGGCGAGGTCGCCAGCAGGAAGAACTCGTTTTGGAGCGAGCGAGAAATGGAGGGTAAGGACGACGAGCTCGACGAGGAGGCTTATAGATCTTCGAGCAGGCACTCTCTCGCTCTCTTTTGAGACTCTCCTGTCTCTGAAGCAAGGCGCGTTCCCGCGTGCGTGACCTCGTCCACGAGAGAGAGACGCTCGAGAGCAGGTTGGCCTTCTCAAGTCGAACGACGCTCGCGATCCGTCTCTTTGCTCTCTATCTATCGCTCCTGGTCTCTCGACTCGTCGAAACGGTGTCACTGCTCACGTTGCCCGGCTGAAAAGTCGACTGACCCACCCGTGCTCGCTCGTCGGCTTGATCGGCCTGCTGCGCAGAGTCCAACAGTCAGTCGACGGCGTCGAGACGAAAGAGGAGGTGAGGACGCACCTCGGCCCAAGCAGCGCCCTCGTCAACTGCAACAGATCGCGCCGCTCGCCCCCTCGACCGCCGAGGACCAGCTCTCGCGGCCGGTCCCTTGCCTCCCTCAGTACCTTCTCAACCTCGGCGCCCTCGCCGTACGCCCTCCTCGCGCTGTCCCACCCTCGCTCGGCCCACACTCTCGCCGCCCTCGTGTCGCCATGCCACGCGCATGCGCGCGCTGCAGGGAGGCAGAACGCCTCGACGCCGTCGACGGCGAGCGCCTCTTGCTCGAGGAGGCGCACGGCCCTCGCCGCGTCGCGCAACACCCGCTCGGCCTCGCCGCCGCCTCCTTGCGCTCCCTCGCGCTCGCGCAGTCGTACGCCCGGCCGACGCTCGTACAGCTGCGCGAGCTCGGCGCGCCGGGCGTCGCTCGCTGCGCGACTCGCGCCGTCCGAGGCGCACACGGCGCACGAGCAGTCGAACGCCCAGGCGCGGCCGAGCCTCGTCGTGCGCTCGGACGTCGTCGACGCAAAGAGGGCGGGCCCGCCGAGGTACGACGTGAGGAGCTCGTTGTCGACGGCGACAGGACGCAGGACGTGCGTGACAAGGCGGGCGAGGTCGGGCGAGTAGGACGTCTTGACGTTGGGCGCGCACGAGTGGTTGAAGCGCGACGAGATCGGGAAGATGCCGTGCTTGGCGATGAAACTCGGCGAGGATGGACTGGCGGAGGACGACGACGACGAGCGGCCGGCGAGCGAGAACGCGTTCGTGTCAAAGATGCCGCGCTCGCTCGAGATCAACGAGTCGTCCTCGTACGCGTTGGCGAGGCCGTAGAACGTCTTTTTCTCCTCGTCGGACAGCGACTGGACGGCTGCCGAGACGTCACGCGCCGAGCCGACGACGACGAGCGGCGCCTCGACGAGGATGCGCTCGCCCGGGACGAGCGGGCGCGCGGCAAAGAGCCCAGCTTGACGACCGGGCGAGCTCGCGAGGTAGATCTTGTCGCCGAGGTTGCGCCGGTGGAGCGCCGACGACGCGCAGGAGGCAGCGCTGGACGAGGGCGACGTGGTCGGGCGCGAGTCGATCGAGAAGAGGGTCGAGTGGGCGGTCTCGGGGCTCGACATGGCGTTTCTCGGCTGCGTGTGCGAAAAGAGTCAGTACTACGTCCGCTCTGGGCAGGACGGAGAAGAGGAGGGCGCACCTGCTCGTGCTCGACAGCTCCTCCTCGTGAACCGCCGGCTCCGTCGTGGCCAAGCGACAGCGCCATGAGCTCTCGCGCGCGTTGTCGGGACCGTAGCGCCGCCTTGACGTGAGCTGGCGAGGTCGTGCTTGCGCCCTTGCGGCCTGCGGCGTTGGACCCGCTGTTGTGGGCGAGCGATCGGGTCGAGGTGGGGAGACTCGGCGGACGAGGACGAGGCGAGGCGAGGAAGGCGGCTTGCGAGTCGGTGCGAGGCTGGGAGACAGCACTGCGAGGATGCGCACGTGCTGGCGAGCAAGCGCGCCGTCGAGAGTAGAGAGCGAGAGAGGAAGATGAACGGCCGCGATCGAGATCCGCTCGCCAAGAAAGCTGCACCGCCTCTCGTGCGACAGAGGTGCAAGGGCTCGTTACAACAGCGACACAGAGAGGTGATGTACGACAAGGTGACGACGGAGGGACTAGATCAGATGAGCTCGACGTCGCCCGCCTCGAGCAGGGCGCGGATCGTGCTGTACCGGCACATGTGTTGCGAGCCCTGCGCGAACGCAAACAGCTCGCCGCTGCAGGAGGAGCGACTCATCAGTACACTCGTTGAAGAGGAGGGGAGGTAGAGGGACGCACTCGGGCAGGACGACGGGCGCGCAGTCCTTGCGAGCGCGGACGAAGACGGGTTGGCCAAAATCGGGCGTAGGCACTGCGCAACTCGGCCCCGAGTCAGTTCGGCTCGTCGCACGACGACTCTTGGGAGAGAGGGACGCACTCGGTGGCGGGTTGCGGGTGACCTGCTCAGGCATGGCGTCCATCGCCGACGCGTCGTGGTAGGCCTTGACGAGGCGAACGTATCTGCGGCGACGGTCACGACGGTCAGTGAGTCCCCGACAAGCAGAGAGGAAGAGAGAGAGCGCAGGACGCACCCTTCTGCGTGCGCAATCTCGTTGTGGTACAGGCGCTCGTGGACGTCGGGCTGCGACAGGTAGTACTCGGCGCACTGCTCGAGCTGCGGGAGGGGAGCGCATCAGGACCGGCTCGACGACGTCGCTCACGCTCGCTCGCAAAGTGAAGAGGGTGCTCACCTTGTAGATGCGCTGGCGGGTGAACATCTTGAGGACGTGAGCGGCGCGCATGTTCTCGGTCGCGACGACGCTCGCGGCGATATAGAACGCGTCGTCTTGCCCGGGCGTCGACTGCGCTATCCGCACGAGGTCTTTCTGCATGTGTGTGCGACTGTGTCAGCTCTGTTCAGGAGGGAGAAGGCGGGGCGAGAGAAGGGGCGCACCCGACGAGCGAGGCTCTTGACGACCTTGTCGACGAGCTGGCGCGGGAACTTGAGGAGCTCTGGCGCGCCGATCTCGTTCTGGTACGCGCGGAGGAGGCGCTGCACGTTGCGGCTCTTGTCCCTCGCGGTGCCCTCGCCGAGGATGTCGTCGAGCGAGGGGCTGTCGCCCCGCGAGCTGTCGAACCCTGCCCGCACCGAGCTGCCGGCCGCCGCGCCCGTCACGCTCGAGATGCGGCCGCCTCGTGCGGTGGTGCGCCCTCCAGTCGCGACCGAGCTGTCGCGGTCGTCGTCGAGGCGGCGAGGAGGGTGGGCGGGCGAGTCGTCGAAGAACGAGTCGTCGTCGATGGCGGCGCGCTTCGACTGGAACGACTCACGGCCGAGGTCGTCGTCATCGTCGTCGTCGAAGAAGCCCCGACCGGCGCGGCTCATGGCGGTAGCGGGTCGACGAGAGCGGTCGAGCGATGAGGCGAAGTCGCTCTCGTCCGCACGCGACCACGACGCGCCGCTCGGCTCACACTCTCGCTTGCAGCTGTCCTTGGGCTTGTCAAAGGTGCTCGCACGCGCTTGCTACAACTGTCGAGACTGGCCGCACGCTCGCCGACTGCACGCCGCGAGAGCCGAGGGTTGCCGCTCCTCCAGCCGCCAGCTTACGAGCGGTGGCGCCTTTCGCTCGCAAGTGCACGCCTCGGAGGAAGCCGCGGTAAGCCAGCCGGCTGATCTTGCGTGCTCGGCGTACGAGGTTGATCGGCCCGCTTCCCCGGATTTCGGCGGAAAAGTGAGGTGAGGCGCCTGAGCTTTTTCTCTCCCCTCTCTCCTCGTTCCCCCATCTCCACCAGCTGGTTCCCTATCGGCACACTCTCGTGCCAGCCAGCGCTCCTGCCCGCAAGGACCCCGCGATCACCTGCGCTCGTCCACCCTCGAGGCCGCTCCGCCACCTCGCTCGCTCGAGAGCTCCTCCTCGCCGTCGTCAGCTCCGCACTCTCGCCCTCGGCGACCAACCAGCACCGTCACCATGGGCGCACACCCGACTCAGACTGTTGCCGACAACACGCCCGCCGTCCCGCCTGCACCGGCCGCCTCGTTCGACGACGTCAAGCACGACCTCGAGCGCGCGAGCGGCAGCAGCAGCAACGGCAAGGGCGTCCTGCACGGCGGCGAGCACGATGTCGACACGACCAAGGGCCAGGCCAACCTCCACCGTCGCCTCAACGCTCGCCAGATCACCTTCATCGGTTTCAGCGGAGGAATCGGTACCGGTGCGCCCTCCTCCCTCTCTTCGTTCCTCGCCTCGGCATCGAGCGCCGCTGACTCGGTTCACGCCGTACAGGTCTCTTCATCGGTACTGGCTCGGCCTACGCCAAGGCGGGCCCGGCAGGTCTCCTCCTGTGCGTCTTGCTCGACCGCCGCCCGGACCCTCCTCGAGCGACGACTGACATCCCTCGCTCCCGCAGCGCCTACCTCGTCGTCGGCTCCATCCTGTGGTGTGTCATGCAGAGTATCTCGGAGCTCGGTACCTTGGTGCGTCCCGTCTCTCGTCCTCTTTCGCCGGCGCACGTACTGACCTCCCTCCTCGCGACAGATCCCGACTGCGGGCTCGTTCCCTCACTGGGCCTCGCGCTTCATCGACCCATCGGTCGGCTTCTCGCTCGCCTTGTCCTACGGCTACTGCTACACTATCGCCGTACGTCGCCATCGTCATCGGCCTCGTCGTCGTCCGCGACTGACCCCTCCTCGACCCGCAGATCGCCTCCGAGGTGTCGGCCGCCGCCGTCCTCGTCTCGTACTGGTCCGACATCTCGCCTGCGGTCGTCATCTCGATCTCGCTCGCCCTCATCCTCGCCATCAACCTCATGCCGGTCCGCTTCTACGGCGAGACCGAGGTCGTCACAGCCTGCGTCAAGATCCTGTGCTTCCTCATGCTCGTCGTCGTCTCGATTGTCATCACGGCCGGCGGTGCGCCCGAGGGCAACGCGATCGGCTTCAGGTACTGGAACAACCCGGGCGCCTGGGTCGACTACAACGGTGCGTCGTCTCGCTTCCCTCCTCCTCCCTCCCTTTCCCTCCCTTCCCGGTCTGCCGCCTCGGTCTCTCGCGAACCGGCTCTGACACTGTACGTCCTGCAGGCATCACTGGCTCGACTGGCCACTTCTGCGGCTTCCTCGCCGCGTTCGTCAACGCCTCGTTCAGCTTTATCGGTGTCGAGACTGTCGTCGTCGTGCGTCCCTCCCTTCCTCTCTCTCTCCCTTTCCGCCCCTCGTACTCACACACTCATTTGGCATCAACAGGCTGCTGGCGAGGCCGAGAACCCGCACCGCTCGATCCCGAAGGCGGCCAAGCGTGTCACGGCCCGCATCGGCTTCTTCTACATCCTCGGCGCCCTCCTCATCGGAATGACGGTCGACCCGCGCAACCCGGACCTCGTGTCGGGCACCGGCAACGCCAACTCGTCGCCCTGGGTCCTCGCCATCAAGGCGGCCGGCATCCCTGCCCTCGACTCGGTCGTCAACGCCTGCATCCTCGTCTCGGCTTGGTCGGCCGGCAACTCGTACTGCTGGGTGAGCACTCTCTCTCTTTTCCTCTCCACTGTCGGCGCCGACGTGTGACTGACCTTGCTGCCTCGACAGGTCGGCTCCCGCATGATTGTCGCCATGACGACCGACCGCCAGCTCCCCTCCTTCTTCGGCATCACGTCCAAGTACGGCGTCCCCTACTACGCCGTCCTCGCCTCGTTCGCCTTTGGTCCTCTCGCCTACCTGTCGCTCGGCTCGGGCGGCCCGTCGCAGGGTGAGTTACCGTCGCTCCCTTTTCTTTCTCGTCGCCCGTCGGGGCGGCTGGAGCTATTTGTCTTCTACTTTGAGCGCCTCACTGACTCTGCTTCTACTTTCAGCATTCGGCTGGCTGCAGAACCTGTCGACTGTCGCCGGCCTGATCGCGTGGGCGACGCTCTGCTTCGCCTACATCCGGTTCCACCGCGGCTGCCGGGCCCAGGGCGTCAACCGCGACTCGTTCCCGTGGAAGTCGCCGTTCCAGCCGTTCACGGCGTACTACGGCTTTATCGGCAGCGTCATCGTCACCCTCGTGTCGGGCTTCTCGGTCTTCCTCAAGGGCAACTGGGACGTGCAGGACTTTATCGCCGCCTACATCGGCATCCCTCTCTTCATCGTGCCCATCCTCCTCTGGAAGCTCATCAAGCGCACTCGGGTGCGTCCTCCTTTCCTCTCGTCGTCGTCGTGCTCCCCTTTCCCTCCCACCCTCGCTCCCTTTTGTCCCTTTCGTCCTCGCCTCGTCTTCTCCTCTTCTCGCCCTCGTCGAGCAACCTCTCAAGAACGTCGCACTGACTCTCGTCCTCTCCCCGCCATGCAGTTTGTCCGGGCGCGCGAGATGGACCTCTTCTCGGGCCGCATCGACACGGCGACGCTCCCCGTCCCGCCGACGCCGACGACGGCGTGGGGCAAATTCATCGACTGGCTCTTCTAGACGCGCCTCTCGTGTGCTGCGCATAGACCTCGGTATAGAAGAGGGCGCAAGGGAGGAGGAGGGATGGGCTGTGTTTTAGACGCTCTCCAACAGAGTGAGGCTCCTCGTCGTGTTTTTGGTTGTATAGACTACGCAAACGTTCAACTCGTTTCCCCACTACTCTCTTCTCGCCTGTGTGTGCTCTCGCAGAGAGAGAAGCCGAGAGAGCGGGTACTCGGGGCGAACGGACCTCCTCGCTGATCGACCTTCTCAAGTTGGACTTCTCTCAGTTCTCGACGAGGCGACGGCGCAGGGAAAGAAAGAAGCATGTGCACTGCACCGCTGGACCAAAGAGAGAGAGAGAGAGAGACTACTAAAGACAGTGCGACGACGCACGAACAGAACTAAGCAAGCGGGTCCGGACCTCCTCGTCCGTCCCTCGACCATCCTCCTCGCTCCTCGCCCCTCGTCCCTCGCTCCAGCTCGTCCCACCTCGCTCTTCCTCCTCCAAGCTCGGCCTCACCGGGCCCGAACGGCCCTTTTACTCGCGCCAAGACGACGACGACCGACGACCGACGACGACGACGCTCAGGTCTGCGCCTCCTCGACCTCGATGAGCGGGTGGTAGCTCTTCTTGCGGATGTACGCCTCGAGCTGCTTGTCGTCGAGCTGCCTCAGCTCCTCGTTGCGGTCGACCTTGAGCTCCTGGGCGCGGCGGACGACGGTCACGGCAACCTTGATCGAGACCTCGCGGATGCGCTCGATGTCGGGGTACAGGAGGTCGCGCTCGAGCTCGTCGGGCGTGAGCGACGTCGAGAGGCCGAGTGAGCAGGCGTGGACGAGCTCCTCTGGGATCTGGATCGGGAATGATGGGGCTTGGTCAGGTCAAGTCGGGGGAGGAATGCGCGCGAGAGGGGGAGAGAACAGGGACGCACGCTCTTGACGCGAGCGACAATCGATCCGAGTCCAAGGGATGGAAAGACGAACTGCTCGTGTGAAGTGCGAGGAGAGGTAGAGAGAGAAGAAAGAGGAAGGAGGGAAGGAAGGGAACGAAAGTCAGGCTCGTTCGGCCACCGGACGGCGACGCCGACGACGACGGCGAG